TGCACACACACACACACACACACACACACACACACACACACACACACACACACACACACACACACACACACACACAAGTACAAAGTCATATCAGGTAAAATAGGTAAAACAATAAAAAGAAATGGGGCTGGGAGCAGATGTAACCGGCTGAAGAAGCGTCATCCAAGGAGCCATCTGCATCAGGAGCAGAGAGCCGGCTGCAGCCACAGGGAACGACACAGGACCCAGAGAAGAGAGGGGCCCCAGACCCCACCAGGCCCAGGACTCAGACCCCATAGGACCCAGAGGAGAGAGGAGGCCCCAGACCCCCACCGGATCCAAGAGCCAGACCCCCGAAGCCACAGCAGACCCCAGCTCTCAGTGCAGAGGGCTCCTCCAGAGGAAACACTGGGGACACTAAAACAATACAATAATACAATAGAAAGTAGAACAATAAAATGTGACAATAAAAAGAAAAATGGCAGCTGCCTAATATTGATAATAACAATAAATGGGTAGATACAATAAATAATTAAAAATAGTAAATAATAAAAATAAATAAAAATATAATGTGTCTAAAAACATAAATAGATGTACTAAAAAGCAATAATAAATACTAATCAAAAGCTACTCTAAAAAGGTGCGTCTTGAGCCTACTCTTAAAAATATGAACGTTCTCTGCGGCCCTGAGCTCCTCCGGCAGACTGTTCCAGAGACGGGGGCCGTAGTGCTGGAAAGATGCCTCACCGTGAGTGTGTGTCCTGACTTTGGGGATGGTTAGGAGTCTGCTGCCGGAGGAGCGCAGGGGCCGGGAAGGTTCATAGGATAAAAGCAAATCTGAAAGATAAGAAGGCCCAAGACCATTAAGACATTTAAAAACCATTAAAAGAACCTTAAAATTGATCCTGAAACACACGGGGAGCCAATGCAGCGATTTTAAAACCGGTGTAATGTGGTCCCGCCCCCTGGTCTTAGTCAGGACACGTGCGGCCGAGTTTTGAAGTAATTGTAAACCTGAAATGTTCTTTTTGGGAAGACCAGAGAGCAGGGCATTACAGTAGTCAATGCGACTGGTGATAAAAGCATGCATCAGCGTCTCCGTGTTGGCCCGAGAGAGAATGGGGCGGACTCTGGCGATGTTCTTTAAATGATAAAAACCTATTTTTGTGATGTTCTTGATCAGTCTTGTTCTTGAAAAGTCAGCTCAGAGTCAAAGATTACGCCCAGGTTTTTCACTTGTGATGATGGATTAAAAGAGTGTGATTGGCGTTTCGGTAAAAGTGGGCCTCTCTCTGGGCCTCAGGACCGGTGACTAAAACCTCAGTTTTGTCCTGGTTGAGCTGGAGAAAGTTTTCTGCCATTCAGGATTTCAGGTTTAAAATGCAGTTAAAAAGAGCATCCATTGGCCTGGTGTCATCAGGAGACATGGAGATGTACAGCTGTGTATTTATTTATTTATTTATTTATTTATAGACATTTTATCGGAGGATAAACCCCATGAGATGTATCATCTCGTTTTCGTGGGGGGTCCTCATGATCAAATACAAAGAACATAGAACAGCAAAGTAGAAACAATAAAATAAAAATAAAACAAACAAAAAACAAATCATCTGCATAACTGTGGAAGTCAATTCCATGTCTCCTGATGACACCGCCAAGAGGGAGCATGTACAGGTTAAAAAGGACTGGACCTAAAATGGAACCCTGGGGCACACCACATGTGATTTTATGGACCTGTGTGTGTTGTCTGCGTGTGCGAGCGCGCCGCGGACACGGGAGCGTGCCTTTATAGTAACGAGCATAAAGCGCTGAGAATTAATGAATGAGAATGAAAGACAGAAAAGTGTGGCGTATGAGCAGAGCGACCGGAGCCGGAGGATATACGTGTGTTTGTGTGTGTGTGTTGGTGTGTTCTGGCGATTAAATAAAAACGGATTCTTGAATGTCTGAAGTGTTATTGCAATAGCACCACACTGAGAGCGAGGGTCAGGACAGAGGGAGTTATTCCCATAGGAAACGCTTTTCTTTGGCCCTGCAGAGACACACTCCCCAGTGCTCCTCAACCACGGTCCAGGGCTTATGTGAAAGGTTTGAATACAAAAGTGCAGGAGAGACGTGTGGGAAAACGTGTGTCACAGGAAGACGTAATGTGACGCGCAATATCAAGTCCCCACCACACCTCATCCCCCGCTCCCCACCACCCGCCACACTGACCCCCCTCATCCGCGCTGCAAAGCGTGCTCAGGCCCACATCTTTAATAGAGCCTGGGCACGGTTGCTGCAATCGTGCCCAGTCACATGGTACCTAAATGTGGATCTTCGGATCTTATCACGAAGTGGGCCCTGGCCCACTTAAACCGGGCTTTAGGCTGTGCATGTGACCGCAGCCTTAAACTCCCTATATGTCTAAGGCGTTTTGCATACGCATGTTTTTCACTCAGATTTGAATAGAGCTGAACAACTGTACTTCTCCTACGAGGATCCATCTATCTCACTCATATGAAGTGTCTACAGAGTCCAGTAAAAGATAAGATAAGATAAACCTTTATTAGTCTCACAGTGGAGAAATTTCAGTGTCATCGTTGCGCACATTACAGCAGAGAGAGGAAATAAGAGCACTCAGATTGCACACATCAAATAAACCAACACACATTTATAATGGCTGCAGTAAGTAAGTAATGTTTATTTATATAGCGCATTTTACAGACCAAGCTTCACCCAAAGCGCTTTACAATGTTCAGAGTTCAGATATTGTTCCAATCATTCCATACACGGTGATGACGGAAGCGAGTCGCCGAACACACTGGCGCATCAGCCCCCAATCAACACCATCCATTCACTCTCTCATCTACATTCATACCTATTGTGCATGTTTTTAGTGGTAGGGGAAACCGGAGCACCCGGAGGAAACCTACGCAGAGACAGCATATCTCTAGTGTGTACTCCCGACCGCATCCGGTGAGCTCTCGTCAGCCCTTCTGGTGCACACTGGGGTACTCTTGCAGTTTTTCCAATGTGTTTTTTTTTTTTTTACAGCAAATGGCAAATCAAGTGTTGAATCTTGAATATTGGGCAGAGCCAGTTTGAAGTCGAGTCCAGTTGAGTCCATATGAAAATGCCCTAGATATGTATTGCGTCATGCATATGGAGATTTATGTCAAATTGGCAGAATCTGAAAGATACCCAGCCTGACTGATCAAAGGCTGTTAGTGAGATTTGTTACTGCGTGGAAATGATTGTGAAATGGCTGGATGTGTCTAGGTTCCCGATGCTTTGCCCTCATTCTAAGCACAGAGAGCCTTTCCTAGGCCATGTGCCAGGGGATAGAGGTGTGTTGTTTATGTGACAAAGTTGCTTTGAGTTGATTGAATGGATAAGCTCTTCAGGGCATAACATACTTGTAGGCAGCTATTGTCAACAAAGGATTGTTGATATGATGATTTAGAGAAAGCTAAAATAAACTACTATTTTCTCTAGATCAGGGGTCTCTGACTGGTTGGCCACCTCTGCTCTAGATTATCACCAGCAGGTATAATATGCTCCAAGAAAAAATTAGAAGTGGGATGCATTATACACACATACAACATTAAAGCTTGGGTACTTAACATTCAGACCACAGATGATAGAACTTTGTTATAAAAATTGTCTAACAAAAAACAGTTTTTTGTGAGATTAATTTGGATTTTATAACAAGCCATGTGCCAATATTCAACATCCATCCATCCATCCATTTTCTTCCCCTTAATCCATTTCTGGGTCGGGGGGGTGGCAGTCAGAGCTGCACCCAGTACACATAGCACCAGCCCCTCACTGATCCTCCTGCAGGTGGTGAGTCCACAGGAGCTGAGATCTTTCAGTTGGGGCTTTGGGCAAAGTGGGGTTAAGTGTCTTGCCCAAGGACACAACAATTCAACATAAAGGCTTAATATATATCTCACTTTGCATGTAATGTTGAATTATAGAAGTATATGGACTTTTGAACAATCAGTGATGGGCAGTTGCAGCGACGCTACTAGCTTAATTAAATTTTTCACTATTCACAAAACCAAGTAACGTTTCTGTAGCTACGCTTTTTTATTGAGCAAGTAGCGCGGTAGCGTCCTCCAAAGCTATTTTCTCACAAACATTTCTGATGTTCATATATTACAGCATTTTCCCGCAGCCAAAACAAACAAATAAGGAAGACAGAATGCTAATGTGCTTGCCTTGGTGACGGCACGCACGCACACATTCGAACGCACACAAACACACTCGCGCACATACACATGCGCACGCGCTGCTGGATTGAGGTGACAGGACAGCATAGAGCCCAGGAGCCGCGGTCGCGGAGGACTCTCAATCTGTTACCGTGGCCATACCTCCAAAAGTACGTCACTTTAGTGGAGACGAGCAAACAGAAATATGTTTTCAGAGGCCTACTTTGAAATCCCAGAGAAAGTTCCTCTGTGACTGATAATGAGGTTGTATGATGGTTGTCACGAGTGTTTTCCTAAACTGGTCAGACATAGTTCTTAGCACAGTTCATTTTTAAACTTATATACATGTTTTTTTCTTTTCAATTTCAGAGGGTATTCTTGCTTAAATAGAGTTATTAATTGGCTCGGATTCACATTTGTTACGTGTATATTGGGCTATTGTTATAAACAACAGTTAAAAAACAGTTCTAATGAAAAATGTTAATTTGTAATGACTTATTGCTATAATTTCTCAATGTTATTTATTAACAATTGCTTGTGTTTGGTTGTTGGTGTTTTAGGCTATTGTTCAATAAATATCTAAACTTTAACCTTTATCTGACTGACTTATGGGTGGTAGCTTCTGTGAAGTGAAGCTGAATTTATTGTAGAGTAGCTTGTAGCTTAGCTCACTACACAAATCAAATAGCTTGCCCATCACTGTGAACAATATTGTAGTTTTCAGAGTTTCACCTGTAGTACAGTTTTATGCAAACAGATAATGAAACATCACAACAGGTCACCAAAGACCACAAATTATGAGCCACAAGTGCTGTTGAGTGTCACCTGTTGTTTTTGTCCACGTTGATGTTTTCTCCCCCTGGAACCAGCTCCTTCACCTCTGTCATTCCGTAGTTTTCCCGTGTGATCTGGGCATAATACACATTGTTTTGAGCAGGCTTATTGATTACTTTATTTGTGAAATGTTTAGAAAACAAAGAGCGTATTCTGGAAATGTTTGTAGAATTGTACAACTCACAGAAAAGTTAAGTAAAAATACGTCCTCTATGTCGTTGCCTTCGTAATCCAAAAGTTGTTGAAGACTCCTGAAACAGAATAATAGCAACAACTGTTGCTCATTATGGATATTGATATGAGCATGCCGTGTTTAATCAATGATTTCACCCAATGTGCCAATGTGCTCAAATTCCAAGTTACAACCACTTCTAAGAATTGGTCAAATTCATGTCCATGAGGAAAAGTGAAAAGACCAACAAACTAGAGTGCTGAACCTGTGCCACAAAATAAATGATATATGATTTGTACAGCTCATGTAAAATTTAGACTGGTTTTATTAAGTCTATCGTTTGGTCTAGTTTGTAGTTTATCGTAAAGGAGGCCCTCCTTTTGTAATTGTGTGGCATTGTGAATACAGAGAGAGAATGTGTTAAACCATTTCTAATTGACACTGGGTGGCCTACAATCTCATAACAGAGCAGCGGACACCACAGGGTTCAGGAGGCACAGGACAAAAGGTTTTGAAATCACTGGTTATCATTGTCTAAATACCTAGCTTCAGTGGGTGACAGCTCCCTGAAATCCTCCAGTGTGGGAGAGACTTTGAGCAGCTTCTTGTACAGTGCCAGAGGAAAGTGCAGGTCTACAACAGTGGAGTTGTAGATGGCCAGGCCACAGATGATCCCGATCAGGTGGAACCAGTTTGACTCTACGAAACACTGACAGGACATGAGTATATAGCAGCTGACCCTCTGACACACTAAAGTTATGTTTTGTTATACTAATAAGTATTACTAAAATACTGTTTTTCTTCTTCCTACTCCCTTTCAGGCAACTATCTTGTTTTTTTGGGGGGGTTTTTTTAATGCATGTTAGCAATACTTTATTTATTTTTGTTGAAAACTATGATGGACAAGAGCTGACTTGCGCCTAATGTGAAATGCCTGAAATGAATAAATAAACAAACAAACAAACTGTTGTCCTTAGGTCAAACCGGGATCAAACACAGCACAGCCACATGGACAAACACAAGACACTTGTAGCTCAAGTGCAGAAACATAAGGTCAAGGGACTTATACCAACATCAAATCTAACAGATGCCTAATCCTTGTACATGTCTGCCAATGATCCCAGTGAACTCATCACACGTCGAAGACTAGTATGGCTGGTAAGCCTCAGATATACTGAAACATGATTTCCCCCTCATATTCAACCATTTTCATTTTTAAAAACATTAGGATTGTTCAAAGTAAATTTCTTGAACATGTTCTTTGCTTTTAGTTTTTCTTACAGAACTGACTTATGAATAAAACAAAATAGTCTCAAATGGCACCACTCACTTTGTCTGAAAACCAGAGCAGATTGGAGTCTCGGTAATGTGTGAACATCCCGTAGACAGGATCCATTAGCTCTTTCAGCAGCAGCAAGAAGAACTCTTTAGTGACTCCTCCAGCGTCCACAGCCTCCTCTCCGTCAAAGATCACCTGAAATACCATGGACACTAATTTCCAGTCACTTGTGGTGTTTAGTTTGTGGCTCACCTTGAGAGGTTTCTTGAGGTCCACATCTGAGTACATGGAGACTTCTCGCAGTGTGTCACTCACTAAGTGGTCCCTGCGGACATGTAGCACCAAGTACGGGTTCCGAGCCAAGTTTGGTTCCAGTGTGAGCAGCATAAAGACATTATGAAGATTTGCACCACTGACTGCCATCTTCGAAAAAGAACATACAGAACTTGAATTCAGGCAAAGGATAAGACAACACAAATGTTATTCTTCAAGAGTGGACTACTGTAACAATTTGACACTTACAGTTAGTCTATGCAGCATGCACATTCTCATATAAAGGGAACCAAAAAATGTGCACACATTACTTTGATTTAAACATCTTTGCACTGGCTTCTACTTAATTTTAGAATTTAGTTTAAGATGTAATTATTTGTTTTTAAATCTTAGAATGGACTGGCCCCACAGTACCTCTGCATGCAGAGGTCCGAGGGCCAGCTCCAGCCCATGATGTCTAAAACGAGACTTAAACCTATGGGGGGGCAAGGCCTACTAAGTGACCCTAAACCCAGAGGGACAGGGCCTTCTCTGTGGCACTTAACCCAGGGAGACAGGTCCTTCACTGTGGCCTCCATTGTTGAGTTCTTAGGAGACTTGCTTTCTTAAATGTGCCATATACATTGGGGCAAAAAAGTATTTAGTCAGCCAGCAATTGTGCAAGTTCTCCCACTTAAAATAATGACAGAGGTCTGTAATTTTCATCACAGGTACATTTCAACTGTGAGAGACAGAACGTGAAAAGAATTGTAAAAAGATTTTTAAAGAATGTATTTGTAAATTATGGTGGAAAATAAAGTATTTGGTCAATAACAAAAATTCAACTAAATACTTTGTATTATACCCTCTGTTGGCAATAACAGAGGTCAAACGATTACTATAGGTCTTTACCAGGTTTTCACACACGGCAGCTGGTATTTTGGCCCATTCCTCCATGCAGATCTCCTCGAGAGCAGTGATGTTTCAGGGCTGTCGCCGAGCAACACTGACTTTCAACTCCCTCCACAGATTTTCAATGGGGTTGAGGTCTGGAGACTGGCTAGGCCACTCCAGGACTTTCAAATGCTTCTTGCGGAGCCACTCCTTCGTTGCCCGGGCGGTGTGTTTGGGATCATTGTCATGCTGGAAGACCCAGACACGTTTCATCCTCAAAGCTCTCACTGATGGAAGAAGGTTTTGGCTCAAAATCTCACGATACATGGCCCCATTCATTCTTTCCTTAACACGGATCAGTCGTCCTGTCCCCTTAGCAGAAAAACCCCAAAGCATGACGTTTCCACCCCCATGCTTCACAGTAGCAACTCAGTCTTCTTCTTCCTCCAAACACGACGAGTTGAGTTTATACCAAACAGTTCTACTTTGGTTTCATCTGACCACATGACATCCTCCCAATCCTCTGCTGTATCATCCATGTGCTCTCTGGCAAACTTCAGACGGGCCTGGACATGCTCTGGCTTCAGCAGGGGGACACGTCTGGCACTGCAGGATTTGATTCCCTGTCGTCGTAGTGTGTTACTGATGGTAACCTTTGTTACTTTGGTCCCAGCTCTCTGCAGGTCATTCACCAGGTCCCCCTGTGTGGTTCTGGGATTTTTGATCACTGTTCTCATGATCATTTTGACCCCACGGGATGAGATCTCGCGTGGAACCCCAGATTGAGGGAGATTATCAGTGGTCTTGTATGTCTTCCATTTTCTGATAATTGCTCCCACAGTTGATTTGTTCACACCAAGCTGTTTGCCTATTGTAGATTCACTCTTCCCAGTCTGGTGCAGGTCTACAATTCTTTTCCTGGTGTCTTTTGACAGCTCTTTGGTCTTGGCCATAGTGGAGTTTGGAGTCTGACTGTTTGAGGCTGTGGACAGGTGTCTTTTATACAGATAACGAGTTCAAACAGGTGCCATTAATACAGAAGAAGAAGTTACAGGTCTGTGAGAGCCAGAGATCTTCCTTGTTTGAAGTGACCAAATACTTATTTTCCACCATAATTTACAAATAAATTCTTTAAAAATCCTATAATGTGAATTCCTGGATATTTTTTTCACATTCTGTCTCTCACAGTTGAAGTGTACCTGTGACGAAAATTACAGACCTCTGTCATTATTTCAAATGGGAGAACTTGCACAATAGGTGGCTGACTAAATACTTTTTTGCCCCACTGTAAATAAAGATTTAAAAACTCAATCAGGCTGAGCAGCTACCTGCATTTGTAGCTCGGCGTCAGTCTGCAGCATGGTTGTCTTGGCTTGAGCATTCAGTATAAATGGGTAGGCACATAGGTTCACTAAGGGAAAGTCATTCTGTAGGGGAAAAACATAGTTAAACATTACTTTAAAACAGTGGATTGAAAATGATGAGGTAGTTACACAAACATTTTGCCGTAATTTAAATACACTCACCTTAGATGGAGACGACTCAGTTTTCTGAAAAAAAAAAAAAAAACAACCATTATCGTCATGATAGTAAAAATATTATAGAAAACAAGACAGTTGAAAGATTGTATGTATAAATGATGCCACTCACAATGTCGGCTCGACTTAAAAACCACTTGAGGTAGTCTTCCTGGATGTCCACCAGGTTGGTAATGTCAGGTATATAAAAACTATTGTAGTCTACGTGCTTGGCCTTTAAGTTTACCTGGCAACAAACAGCAGAAACACGTCAACATTCCCAGGGGCCATCACACAACACTACAGCAGCAACCTTTTTCACTTCCACTGAAATGCTTGTTTCCACTGTACAGAGTATGTTACCCCTTTAAATAAAAAAGTAAATCAATCGTCAGAGGCCAAAAGCAGTGAGCTTCTTTGTCACATAGAGCAATGTTTTCAAACCGAAGGGGTACGTGGGAGTATTACAGGGGGTTCCAGAAATGTTCTAACTTTTGGTCAAATTTTGGTACAGTCCTAGCCTGGCCTTAGTCATCCGTACACTCCGCTCAATCATCATTTAACTGCATGCAACGTCTGGGTCTGGTCCCTGTGTTAGCGATTACAATTGCTTGAATTTCGACCGACCAATCAGTGAGCGCGGAAGCCGGGTGTTGTAGTTAGTTGTGAGTGACATCAATAGTTTGCGTTGAACGGGAAGGTTGTAGTTTGGCAATGGCGAACAATGCAATAGTAAAGTAATACGGTCTGGTTCTATCAGAAATTGAAGCCGGAGCAAGAGGAATGTTTAGCAAATGTAATCGCTGGAAAAAATTGTGGCGCTACTCTCCATGGGCTCCGTTAGCGGCAATGGAGATAGCTAGGCTAAATGGTAAATGCCAACAACTCACTCGGGCGCACTACATACGTCACGGTCAGATCCAATCGTTTCAATCTGCAAAAGGAGTTAACCCCTCCCACCTGTAAGCGGAGCTCAATGGAGCGCCTCCAGACCTTAGTACAAAATGTAAATTGTACTAATGTGTGGTACTACCAGGCTAGTACAGTCCCAGCTCTAAAATTAAAATAAAAGTCAAACAAATCTTTAAACTACCTAAATAATGAAAAAATAATATGTTAATAAGAATTATGTAAAAGGAAATCCTATAACAGATTAAATGCATTTGTCCTCCGGGGTAATGGGGGTTAGTTACTCCTGGGGTGTCCTGTCTAAGCTAGAGGGAAGTTAGGAACCACTGACAGAGTCCAGTGTTCAGTAACACCTTAAGAAGTCTAAATTTGAGTTTTCACACATTTTGGACCAGTGGTTCAGAGAAAATAGGCCGTACGTGTAAGAAGCACAATGCATCTTTATGGCTTATGCAGCAGAGCACTATTGAAGACATATGTTTACCTTGTGAAGTTTTTCCAGCAGTCTCAATGTAGCCAGAAAATAGTTCTCATAAGACACAGGCACAACCACAGACTTTCCGAGTGTGAGCATGAACACCACAATTCGCTTATAAACGTCCACCATTTTCCTGAAGACACTGCCCTCCACAAAACACCACCAGTTATCTGCGAAGAACAAAGGAAGATATACGTCTGGAGTCAAGATTCCGCAAAACTTTTGAGAATATGGCCAAATGGTGCACAATTCTCACCTAATACTTTGCTGGGGTTGGTGTCCAGACGCAGTATAGCGATGGCAAAAGGAATGGTGAGTCGGGTGAAATTCTTGGAGTCGTGCATCAACGGACACTCTGACAAAATTAGATAAATCCTCATTGCTTCGACGTCGGGAGGGGAGCTGGGCAGCTGGGGGATCAATAAGCTTTCAAAACTTTGGCTGGCCTGTACAAGATGACAGAAGAGGAAACCAGTGAAAACCCAACCAAAGAACAAATCACAGTTGTCTAGAAGAAAGTAGAGGCTTGGCTCCAAAATTCAAAATCACAAAAACCACATGGATCAAAACATTTTTGCCACAGATCCACAGAGGAAGAAGGTGTCCCAGCAAACCAGAATGAATGTTATGTCGTTTAAGTTGTGCGGCGGTGGGTCAATATATTAAATAAATAAGAGAAGATTCATGGGGCGTTCATGTGATCTCGGGAAAATGGGAATAAACGCTGCTGAAGACAGAAACTTGTGCTCCCATCACTGTGACAGGTGATCCGTAAAATAAACATCCATTTAAAATAGAAATTTGTGAATTTATGAGCACACAAGCTATGCAGAAATTTGCTTTGAATGTTTCCTTGCAAATCTCATGGACGAGCAAAAAGAGACGTACATTTCTGTTGTGCTGCTGTGTGTATGCGTGTAACCAGCTCCTCAAGAACGCTCTGATTCAGGGAAGTCGGAAGTTTATGTAGATACCTCAGAGTTAACGAGATTACATGAAAGCTGAAACATACTGCATTCATCCTGTTTTCTGTTGAGATACAAAGACATACCTGCTCTAGAAGTGCAGAGAATGCCGGCTGACTGAGAGCCTCAAAGAAGGACTGCACAGAGTGGATGTCGATGCCTGGGATCTTGGGATTGGTTTTGAAATGTGCATCATCACTGCAACATCAAAAGAACATGGACGTGTGAGGAGACATGTGATCTCTCTGCGTGCACCAGTGAAGAGAGAAGGGCGTGAAAGAGTCGGGTTGTGAGTAGAAGAGCACAGAAAAGCTAGGGCAAGATCTATTAATAGAGACCTTGATTATTTAAATTATAGATCAATCAAGACATCTAAGATCTGTATAACGTTTCAGAAAAAAATAAAAGCATATTAAATATATGGTTTCAAAATTTTAGTTTTTAATCTTAGTATGCATTGCAGTGTGGACAGTACTCGAAATAACTGCTATTAGTAGATACAATCAATATTGTCATTTGTTCATTAGATTAGCACTGGTTAAAAGTGCCAAACAGAACACAGTGTGGTAGAAAAGCTGATCAATGCAAATCTACTTTCAAAGTGCAGGATATTTTGGGACTGCACTTGTCAATGGACAAGAGCACACATTTGGTTTTAGCAAGGGCAGGTGGAACATTCTGATGGAGGTTCCAACGCTATGGGCAAGTTTGGTTATGCCTGGGATAATCTACAAAAGAGAATGTATTTTATTGTTAATCAAGGTAAACAAGCCGGGTGAAGGTGCCGTTCTTTATCTGTGGGGAGATGTGCATTCCCACAAAATAAGGATCAGCTGATGGAAAACTGCCCGTAGCATGGTTAAAGGACAATCATGACCTAACTTTTGCTGCCCTCACTTAAATGTTTTGCACAAAACGTGGACATAGACATTGATTGCGAGATAGTCAGTCAGACTGTTAGAGTAATTAGTGGAACGGTATGTAATATGCACGCTAAGTGGTCTAATAAAGTCATTACAATCACTGTCACTTTTGTGTTGCTCTGATTACTGATGCAAACCACCTGCTGGTTGGGAGCTACAAACAACAATACAAATCTATCTGCTTTCATTGAAAACTAATATGTGGCGCTGTTCTTCTGTTTATGAATTTTGTTATTTAAAAAATCAAATAAAGGCAGGTAAATTTCATCTCACAAACTGCCAACCCGGATGAGAGCCTCATTGTTTTCTCTGATTGAAGATTATAAACAAAAATGGATAATGTCCATATGTTTTTAGGAAAAATGCTGCCTTAAACGGTCAAGGTCAACAATGATTTGTACATGTGATAATCATAGTAATTTAGAATAGAAATCCGAGGAGTGAAATAGTGATTCATGAGCATTAAAAATATAATAAGATGAAAGACTCTTTTTGCTCAATCAACATGTATTACATATGATGAAAAGGTTCTGTACCACAGCTTTAAAGATCTACACAATGTATTATGACTATACAGAGGGTGCCGGAGTGCAGACAGCAGTCAGGATCTCAGTGATATCTGAGCCCCAGACTATTCACACCTCTCTCCCGTTTACACACAGGCTCCCTCATTACAGTAATGTTAACATGATCATTTATGTGCTTTACAATCTTTCACTTCTGACATACCTGACCTGGCACTCCCAACCCATCGGCCATACTGGGCATACTTCCCTGTCAAAACAAAATTCAGGAACCTTTTATAGATCTTTTGTACCTTTGGTCCAAGAAGCTGCCATTCCAACAAGCTGTGGAGGAAAGCTGATTGATAATATCACTGAAAAAGACAATACAAACACAATCAACACATAAATGTTAGCACAAAGCATCCACACATCTCTCGGTGACTTACTCTGTAACATTGGGCTCTGTGTTGTACAGAAGCTTTAGCCTCCATTGGTTTAAGCGCTCATAGTTGATTGGAGAAAGACTCTTATTGATACTGCTGACTCGGAAGTCTTCTGGGACCGCTACACTCTGTGGACCACATGTAACAAACATTTTCTGTCACAATCGAGGACTTAGCATTTCCACTGTCCATCAGTGTTGTCACTTTTTCACCAGTCTACAGGTTATTTCAGTTCATGTACCCCTTAGCAACTGCTTGTAACATCATCTGCAGATGTCATTGATGGTTTATTGTTTTGTTTTGTTGTTTGTTGCCCTTCTATTTGTCATCCTCTAATTTGGATCAATACTTGTCAATGATATTGCCATCCTTGGTGTTTGCATTAATGTACTGGTCCATTGTATGTGAGGATGGGGTTGGGGGGGGGGTGTTCTCTGGTGTGTACAGGTGACACATGGAAAATTAGAATATTGTTCAAAAGTCTATTTACTTTTGTAATTAAACTTACACTGAAATTAATATGACAGACTAATTACACACAAGAGTGTGATTTATCAAGCCTGTATTTTGTTGTAGTGTTCATTATTGAATCAGGGTGTAAATACCCCAATTATAATATTTTTACTGAAAGACATCATCAAAAATATAACAAATAAAAGCTTGGCATATGTCACTTTGCATGTAATAAGTCTATAAACAAATATTGTTATCACATTTTAAGTGATTATGAATATTTATATAATATATACATATAATATAAATTAACTTTTGAACAATATTCATATTTTTTTCTCTCTCTGTGTGCATTGTAAATTTGTATACGTTATGACAGTTATGATAATAAAGAGTTTAATTCTGTTCAGTACACGCCACTCCAGCCATACATCAAACACGACATCTTACTGCCCCCAAGTGTTAACTTGTTAGTATTGTAAGTGTGCCTCTTTTATATGTAGAAATATCTGCATTTTTAAATAAAAAGGAATCATTCTTTTTTTTCATACCTGGTCATATGAGAACAACAAAAAACTATGGTCACCTCCACAGACAATTTTTGTTACAGAGCATTGTTTTGATCCTATAAACAAAAACAAAAACATACAAACCAAAATTAGGTTTTCCAGACGAGAAAACATTAATTGTCAGTGGTGGACAAACCTCCTTTTTGAAAACATCCATTGACCGGAATCCTGACAGGACATGGACTTTTAGAGTTGCCCCATATCCCTGTGCCCAGTTGGCCAAAGTTGTTACCGCCAAAAGCATACACTAACCCCGAAGAAGGCACAAATGCCAACGTGTGGTGTCTAAAAAGATTTCAGATCAAAGAATTAGCTTTGAAAAGAGATACATACAAATCTTTTGCACATTTGCAGATGGTATGCAAGTAACCTCTGTAAAAGTGAAGTGCTCACCGGCCACAGGCGATCTGGGACACCTCTGTGCCCATGAGCTCCAGGACTCGTCTGGGTAAGAGCTCGTTGTTGGTGGAGCCGTGACCCAGCTGACCAAGAGCGCCATCTCCAAACGTGAACAACCCACCATCCTGATACACAGACCAAAATATGTTATTGTTGAACATAATGGATGCACCATATATATTATGGCTGGACTCGCCACATCTAACAAGCTTGAAACTCGTTTTGCTGTATTTGTCGTTACATCACTCTTCAAACCGGCTTTTAACTTCAAAGCCTTCAATAATCAGTGTTTTGCTTATAATGTTGCCCAAACCTTTGTGAGAGCAGCAGTGTGTTCCTCTCCGCAGCTGATGTAAACCACTTTCTGAGAACGCAAGAACTTTATGTGACAGGGCACTGCACGATCTGTGGAGGACAGACCCGATTGGGTTACAATCTGACAGTTCTAATGGAAGTAGCAGAATGCACATAGTGAAGATTACAGTGAAGATTGAACAGAAGTATTTTTTCCCCACAGTCGCCCATTGGTGAGTTTTTATGGTAGTTGTGATTAAAGAGGACTTCTGTCTGCTATATAGATAGATACTCTATGACTCTTTTGTACATTTCATACCAACCATAATGCTAGATATTCTGCCACTAACACAACAAAGACCGCACCCTAGTTAAAAGAGTCGCAGATAAACTGACAGAAAAATTGATCCCGCATATCCCGGAATCCAAAAATCAGCGCGTAATAATAGTAAGAGCCAATGCGTGTCATCTGTGTAAGCGAATAGATATGATTCAAGGAGGTTTCTCTAAAAACAACTTTGAGTATAGAAATTACATCAAAAGCTATGAAATGTTATTACCCCCACAAAAAGGACCATATGTAGTATAGTCTGCCCAGACATGTGCAAATCATATTTGATTGGTGAAAGTGAAATAACTAGTGAAATACACTAAATATGATAATTACGTTTAAGGTTTTCAAACTGATTTTTCTGATCAAAGAGCAGAATGAGTGTATGACTTATTTGGTTTGCCAGTATCTCAGGTGAAATTTAGCTGGTATTGGCTCAATGTTTTGTTGATTAAAAATTAACAAATAAAAAATAGAACCACACATTTGTTTTGAATGAAAGTAGAAACAAAAAGTAGTCATACGTAATACACAGAGTTTGAATAGTTTCTAACAAACCACAGCAGGCGGGATGCGCCTGTAATCAGTGCTTAGCTACATGTGGCACAGGCAATTAATATTGGCAAAAAGTTCAATTTTGAGTAAGTTATCTGAATTGTAAATAAATATGTATATTGTATCTATATAGCACATTTCACAGACCAAAGCCACAAAGCGCTTCACACACGGTGATGACAGAAGCGAGACGCCAAACACTTTGACCATCACCACCCTTTCTCTCTCATAACATTCATACCTATTATACATGTTTTTTATTGGTAGGAGAGGGGAGAACATGCAAACTACACACAGGCTGTGAAGCATATATACTTTAAATATAGACTAGGAATGTATTGTAAAAGTAAAGAAAATGCAAGCAATCAACAAAAACAAAAATGATATGGATAATTACCTTGTTTATCATTCAGTCCCAGCTGTCCAGCCCTGTTCTTGCCCCAACCAAACACTGCTCCAGACAGAGAAAGTGCAAAGCTGTGATCACCACCAGCTGTTATTTGTGCCAGAGGAATTCCTGCCAAAGACTTCAGTGGATGAGGAAACAGCTTACTGGGCTCTCCTTTTCCCAAACCCAGCTGACCACTTGTGTTCTGACCCCAAGTGAAGAGTTGACCATCTGAAAATGGAAAACAATCGTTTGGTTGATAATGAAATTTCCACCGGTAGTGATGCAGAGGTAAGATCATGTTGAAATTGAAGGAGCAACCATTTGTGTTTCCACACCTCTAGAAAGTGCAATGCAATGCTGGTTCCCACACATTACTTGAGATATGCGATGATCACAGAGCCGCTTCACCAATCTACAATAAGAAAGAGGGAAAAATGCTTTGAGAAGAAGGTCTAATAAAAACCAAAAAGGTTTTGTATAAGGAGAGAGTATATTTGAAAATATCATTCAAATTTCTAAAACTATATCAACTTGTGTGGTCACCTGGGTATTGGTACAGCAGTGTCTGTGGTACCAAGACCAAGCTGCCCTCCTTCTCCAGCTCCCCAAGAAAACACCTGACCTCGCTCACTGACCGCCAGGGAGTGGGCCCGGCCACAACATACCCTTATTATTTTCTGAGTATCCAAAGCACCCACTAGTTCTGAAAAGAGAAAGGCCCAACAAAGTTGTAAACATATAAATAATATAGCAGTAGCAATGCAATATTAAAATCCATATCAATGTCAATGCAGTAGACAGTTTCATTGTTTATGTACAACTGCACTGTTTACCATTTTCATTTACAAAAGCAGATTACTAAATATAGCAATGATTTATGGTATGTGTGAATGTCCGGTATGTTAATATAAATATATTTGTATTTGTTAAATATTCCTTATTAAAAACTGTGACACTCAAACCTCACATGCAGTACTGTATTTCTCAAACATACCAAGATCAAAAACACTACTCTAAGTTTATTCTCACAAACAGGTGCGCCTCAGGTCAGGTCATCTATTTCACTGCAAATACACCTACTCGTGAATTTTCTAGAAATTAATTATCCTATTATTCCTGCATGGAGTACTACAGAGTACTAGATCCTGCGTGATCTAGTACTCTGGATTGCCTCAAAAACTTTTTTTTAAAGTTGAGATTACATTACAGTTATTCTATGAATGCAACAGGAAAACATAGCCAGCCATGCTTATTTGGCCACAGCATTTTAGGCCTTTAATTGCTTGGCCGTCACGCATCAAAACAAGTCTTAACTGCAATTCAGAAACGAGGCAAGGCAAGTTAATTTGTATAACACAATTCATCCATCTATCTTCTTTCCCTTAATACATTTCTGGGTCAGGGAGGTGGCAGTCAGTCTGCACCCAATTCACAGAGCACCAGCTCTTCACTGATACTCCTGCGGGTGGTGAGTCCACAGTGCATATGAGCATCTAATCCAGTAGAGCCTATGGGCTTCTGGGCAATATATAATAATAATAAATCAATATTAATCTAGTCATGATGGGTCCCCCCAAATTTGTGGTTATAATTTACTTATAATTGAAATAATAAGTCCAACTATCAGTAAATACATTACAGGTTTACCTGGTGGCATCCCTGGTTTGTCGTGGCCCAACTGTCCACAGCTGTTGGAGCCACATGTGTAGACGCTGCCATCCTGAAGCAGGAACACAGTGTGCTCCCCTGCACAGGCAATCTCCTTCAGGCCCCTGCCACAAAACACTGAGCAGCTCTTTGGCTCATAGACTGGATTCTTCTCCACACCATTTCCCAACTGTCCATCTCTTGCATTTCCCCAACACAGCATAATGGTTCCGGAGACAGGATTTGCTTCAATTTAGAAGATTGTAGAGGCAAACCACACAAACAGAATAAAAATGTCTAGGGGTGGTAGCAGCCACGTTTCTTCCTTTTTATGTAAATCCCAAACCTAAAAAATAAGGGGGAAAAAATAATTTGGGCTTTCACAATAGAGAACACACTGAGCACATCTCAACAACATGGGCAATATTGAAACATGACGAGTGTGTGGTGACAATGACACAACTCAAAGAGATGTGCTTTAAAAACCTACCGCTATAATCCCTGCTTAAGCGGCTCCAGGCTCTTATTGTCAGTCTACAGTTTACATGCAAGTGTGACATCTCTGTGCTCTCAGATTGATACATGTAAGAATCACCTGAATAAACTAAACAATGAACAAGCAAAAAACATTGCCAACATATAGACGTACTCAAAGGGTTATAACCAGAGGGGTTACTACGAAAGGACAATATTATGAAGTATTACAAGTATGATTATAATGTTATATCAACTTCTTAAAATATATATATAATTCGGATTTGTCTGTTGAGGAGAGGTCAATACACAACAGTAATATCATACAATAATAAAATGACCAAGCAATATTTTCACTGAACAATCATCCAAAACAATTAACCTATTTGAAACCTTAAATGGCATTTTAGATACGGTATTATATGAAGATTCAATAAATTCTAGATAGAAATTAAAAGACTGTAAATGGAAGTATCTAAATAGTGGAGGTTAGCTAGCTTCACCATTAGCAAACGATACAGCGTTAACTTTAACACAATGAGGTTAAAAGCAGAGCATTCGCAAATGTAAAATGGAGCAGCGTTAAAGCATTGGTGTGTGTCATTGAATGTGTGCCTACATGAAGTATACCTTGAAAAATTCATGCTGAGATGACACCGTTTGGTTTCGGAAGGTAGACTCCGTGACAAACCCGGAAGTGCCCCAGCACGGTGACGTCACAGTCAGAAATTCCGTGATTGGCTGAACTTGTAATGTAATACATATAAATATTAGTAATGTAGCTGTTTCAAAAAATAGGGTATACTTACATGAAAATAAAAACATGCAATCATACACATTGGGTGCACTTATAGCCAATACCTATGTAGAGAGTGGTCCAGCTCATAGTCCAGCTGGTCCTGGACTGTCCTGAGGGGGTGTGGAAATCATGCACTGATATGTAAAGATGAAACGGATAATTAGAATATCTTCAAAAAGTTAATTCATTTATGTAATGCATGATATGGACTCATGGCATGCAAAGTGATCGTTTGTTTATTGTAATTTTGATTATTATGGTTTACAGTTTGAAAAAAAAGAAGATATTACATGATATCAATCTGGTGGCCCAATGTAATGTGGCTTGGATGCTCTCAGCCTGTGGCACTGCTGAGGTGTGATGAAGATAATGAAGAATTTGTGCTGGGTAGTTCTGTTGTATGATAAATAGAAATTTAATTTCTATCTGACAATCTATGGTCATGTATCCAACTTTGTTCTTTTCTGTTTTACAACAACCAGCTCCGGGACTACAGGTGTAAATAGCGCTACAACTTGGAACAATGCATCGCTCCTATTGGCTAATGTTTATTGTACAATGTCCCTATAAATATAAAATCATACCGTACCAGGATGCTTCAATACCAGACTTCACCTCTTGTGTATTGTGGGCTCTCACGTCACATCTTTCTTTTGGCAATGCCCAATAAATTCTCCATGGGGTTCAAGTGAGGAGAGTTTGCTGGCTGATCATGCACAGTAATCTGATGCTTTTGGTACTGTTTGCTGTGTGGTCAGGTTCCAAGTTGGAATATTGAGTCAGAATTACCTTTAAGCGTGTCTGAAGGAAGAATTGAGTACTCTAAAATTGGGTTGATAGTTGTGTTGACTCTAGACTTAGTAAAGCAGAGGGGACCAACACCAGTAGGAAACCCAGCTCCTCACATCATTAGAGACTGTGGAAATTTCACATTGGATCTCAAACTTCTTGGTTTGAGATCCAAGAACCAGGTGCTCAATTGGACGAGGGGTTTAACTTAACAACAAAAAATGCAGTTTTGACTTTCTAGGTAAAAGACAAATGGTGAAGATCTTAGAAAATCAAAAAATCCAAGGCACTCGTGGTCAATAGTTCAGAAAGTTTAAAAAGCCTTTATTTTCTCATGGCTGTAGATTAAAATCTACTCGCACCATCTTGGTGTGTGTACTTCACTTCCTCCAGACTCGGGAGCCTTGGTTTCCTACATTTGCTCCCATCAGAAAAAGGAACATTAGACCATTGAGTAACAGATCGAGTTGGTCGTTCTTTTTCCCGAGTAATGATGATGTTTGTAGTTCAGTGGAATAGGACATTTGCAGCCCATGTCCATGATCTGTGTGATGATTTTGGAATGGCCTTTTATCTTCTCCAGACTATGGCCTCAGTGAGAAGGGCCTGGGTTAGAATCCCACACGGAACAGGGTCTTTCTGAGTGGAGTTTGCATGTTCTCCCTGTGTCTGTGTAGTTTTCCTCCAGGTGCTCCGGTTTCCCCTACCACTGAAAACATGTGCAATAGATACAATCCTCCAGCTTCGGTTCTGACCAAGCCGAGCATCAACATCTGGAGATTGGTCTCCGGACACTGCACTACGACAACCACTGCTCCTGGCGGAAGCCATTAGTAGCATCAGTATTGGTCAAATGCAGAGGAAAGATTATCCGCCAGGGACAAAAAAGTGCAAATTTACACTTACATTTACATTTACTTTGAGAACATCCACCTTATTTTTCTAGTACCCTTTTATCTCCTTATGAAGGATGACTATGATGATCAGGTCAGCAGTCAGACCCAAACTGAGACCCTTAAAAGTCTCAAACACCCTTTGCAAGTGTTTTGGATCAATTAGCTGATGTCACCATGTCACCAAAGGATATAGTCCTTTTTCACAATATTCTAATCCTCTGAGATTTTGAATTTGGAGTTTTTACAAGCGATAAGACAAAATTATCTAAATTAAAACAAACAATGGCTTGCCATGTGTCACTTTTCATGCCTTGAGCCCTTAACATGAAGGAGTGTCACAGTTTAAGTTGTATTACAGAAATATTCTAATTATGAGTTTGTATCCTGTGAACCTAGTTAGCTGGAGTGAACTGGGCAGAGGCATGTGGCAGTTAGTGCTTGTATCTCATAGCAAGTCCTGGGTTCGACTCCACCTCCAGCCCCTTCTGTGTGAAGTTTACATGTTCACTGCTGGTTCTCTGTGTGGAGTTTGCTTGTTCTCTGCATGTTCTCTCTCTCGCTCTAAAATTATAGAGCAGAGTAGAAAAGGTCAGGGAGGGGACTTCTGTATGGCTTACTAACTTACCAGGCTGTCCCCTATATTCAGTGCAACTAATGAGGGACAGAGTCCTGGATAAACAAATATCCATGCTGGTCCCTGTGAAAGGTTTGTCTGCTCTGGAAGTCAGTTTCAGTTGAAGGAGAGATTAAACAGACCTTTCCATACTGCTTTGGTCAAACTGTACAATGAACAATGGACACGTCTGTGCTGACCCTGCAGTCATATTTTGCATTTTGTCATTTCATTAAAACATATTATGATGAATAATTATTGCACATGATTTTTCATTCTATCCTTATCCTCATGGAGGATCTATTTATATGTATGCGCACACATAAGGCTTTTTTCATAACTTTCGTTTGACGTTTTATTCATTTACCATTCTCACGTGTTCAACTTGGTTATTTTTTGTTTCTGCTCAGTGAATGGTCTAACTAGCTGTTACTCATCTTCCCTTGACCAATCAGGCGCCAGAGTTCTTTTGGGCGTTGAGAAGGTGTCTCCGCTGGCAGAGCGCTGATTGGTGCGGCTCACATCACAGTGTTTGATAACACTCTCTGAGGTCTGCGGGCGAGGGCGGTTTGTGTTCAGCGACCGTCGGGAACGCCTGTCATACATTTACCGAGAATCAAGGCATTCCCAGGAGTATATTAAGGGTAAAGTATAACTTTTATTCTCAAAACTAGAAACTGAAGTTGATGTCCGAAGAGAATCTCGTGGAAAATCGTCAAATCTCGTTAGCGCTAACCAAAATATACACCGCTAGCTAGGACCGTAGCTTCGTTAGCTATGCACAGCGTTAGCTTATCTTCGTATATAATGTCCTAGCAGAACCCTAATATGTTTTATTCCTTTATTTCTACACAGTAACACACATTATTTTTTACAATAAACAGCTAACTAAGTTATTCGTTATCAAACGCTATAAACAGTATCCTTCTGTTACCGTGGTTGTGTCACGCCCACAAACAATGTTGCATCATGCAACATTTGTGTTAAACATGCTCACTATGAGCACGACAGTTCTACTGCATGCTCTTTGTCAGATTATACTGAACGGTAGCGGTGTTTTCAGTTATGTTTTGACTATAAACAATATTTAAATCATGTCATAGCAATAGATTCTGATGCATATATTTATTTATTTGCCATGCACTTTATTATTAAGCCATTCGTGTACAAAATAAAAAACCTTAAGCTAGTGGCATAATTACATAATTAATCATATTTGTGTTTGATGACAGAATAGCCTCTTCTTCCTGAAGATTGTCCCTGGTTTGCATCAACAAGGTGATGTCCAGAGTCTGTTTTGCCAATCTGGCCAGGTGTACCAGGCTCCATGGCTGCAGCAGACTTTTGCAGATGGCATTAATTCAGCAACCGCTTTACCAAAAATGTTTGATATCAAGAAGACATCTTCACAGTCCTTCAGAGAAGCGTCAGAGCAACACACGCTTTGACCCGGACAGTAGTGGCAAGCCCACTACGTGGGACTCATTTGGCATTTGGGACAATCGCATTGATGAACCAATTCTGTTGCCCCCAAGCATTCGCTACGGCAAGCCTATTCCCAAAGTGAGTTTGTCCAAAGTCGGTTGTGCGTCGCTCATTGGTCAACGCAAAGAGAATGAGGATCGCTTCCAGATCTCCCAAATGACTGACAGTATCATGTACTTTGCTGTGTTTGATGGCCATGGAGGGCCTGAAGCGGCAGACTTCTGTGAGAAGTACATGGAAAACTTCATCAAGTAAGAAGTTTTAACATACTGATTTATAATGGATTATTCCTGTATTTCTGTAGCTCATTAAGTGAATTTATGTGTTTATAGAGACCTTGTGTCAGAGGAGGAGAATTTGGAAAATGTTTTAACTAAAGCTTTTCTGGAAATTGACAAAGCTTTTGCAAAGCACCTACACTTCTTCCCAAATTGTAAGTTGTGTCATGACCTATGCACATATCATGTTTTATGTTAAATTCCTTAAAGATTAAATTACTATTTATAAATAGAAATGGTCTAGGAGTTGCAGTTGTGTTTAACAGTTTTACTGTGCAGTGCAGTACAGGGCAAGATGCATGGGTGGTCAAGAAATATATGTTGCTATTACTGTTTTTGCCATTATGTTTTGGGGAACTGAGAATTCAGGAAAAAGTACAATTGACATGTGTGAAATGTGTGACATTCTAACTGATCTAGACCGTTCATCATAAACAATAGAGAAATGTATTTGTTGTTAGTTGCAAACATATTTATTCTACTCTATAACAACTATTTAGATTATTGATAATCCAATAATTATTAATAGTCAACTGCCCCACTACTAAACTAGAATCTTAAAAGTAAACTAGCACTGTGCATGAAAATTATCCTTAAAGTTTGTAATTACATAGTGCTGTGTATTAAAAAGAAACTGCTGTTTGTTGTTTAGGCCAACATGAATCTTTATTTTAAAGTAATGAACTATAGACAACTTTCATTGTCCTTTCCTCTGTACTGACCTCTAGTGCGTGGCCTTTTTAATGGCCATGCTGTATGAAATATCCCAATATGCCTGTGTGTGTGCATGTTATCTATGACAGTTGCTGAACCAGCTCAAAGCTGGAGGCCCTTGACACCAATGTGGATGGCGAGAGGCTAGATTTTGGAGAGTCCAGCGGGTCCTAAAACCAGGACTACTGGAAGGTTCCTTATCTTTCTCTCAGTTCTATCTATCGTCCCTTTTCTTTTCTTCTCTTGCCCAGACTTTGCAAGCATCGTCAGAACAGTCCATCAATTTGATTATGTCATGTGCTAGACTCGGGGCCAGTCCATTCCCACTCCAACAGAATAGAGGCTAACATTGTATACAGTTTAGTATCAAAGGTAGATTTTGTAATTGTGTAATTTAGTAGCTGGTTTATGATACCTGCTTATTGTGTAATTAGTCCACATAAATCATACATTCATTTAATAGCAATTGTCAGTTCATCTTTCACCATTATTTTTATTATTATTTTCAGGTTTTTTGTTGGTACCTACACAGCATAAATTATATGTTTACCCATCAAAAGATGTGCCGAGCTTTGGCACATGAAATACATGAAGTACATGTAGCTTTAGTTGCATGGTCAATTGAATGTTGACTCTTGTGATCCTCCTGCCCCTGTATTGTGAATGTGTGAGCGTCACTGTATGCTCCTATGAGCAGAAACAGTTTGTTTAAAAGATTCCTTGTGCTTTCTTTAAATGTCTATATTTGTTTGTTTCTGTAGCACCTGCAACCAATGCAGGCACCACAGCCACGGTGGCCCTGCTCAGGGATGGCATTGAGCTGGTTGTGGCCAGTGTGGGGGACAGTCGAGCCATGCTGTGCCGTCGCGGAAAAGCCCTAAAACTCACAGATGACCACACTCCAGAGAGGAAGGATGAAAAAATTAGGTAAAAACTGCTATGACTCACAAGCCCAATGACAGTGCTGATTCATCATTCTATGGACTTCTGGTTTGTGTTTGGCACAGGGTCAAGAAGTGTGGCGGTTTCATCACCTGGAACAGCCTGGGGCAGTCAAATGTCAATGGGAGGTTGGCAATGACTCGCAGTATTGGAGATTTTGACTTAAAGAACATGGGTGTGATTGCTGAACCTGAAACCAAAAAAATATCTGTAAGTACAAAGATATATTGTTCTTGTTGTCCCAGCAAGGTGTGTCTATATGTGGCATGACTGAATCTATTTTTTTGTTTGTGCTTTTAAGTATATTTATAAATCTTATCTACCTAGCCATACATTACATGAAAGTTTCACACTTAAAGTATATCTTAAGGCGTGTTCGCCTCCTCGGCACAGATGGGGAGCGGATTCCACAGCAGGAACTTTAGGACACTTAAAGAATCACCAGAGGTATATGTATCTTTGAGGTAGGAGGGGGCATTTACAGTGCCTTGCAAAAGTATTCGGCCCCCTTGAACCTTTCAACATTTCGCCACATTTCAGGCTTCAAACATAAAGATATAAAATTTTATTTTTTTGTCATGAATCAACAACAAGTGGGACACAATCGTGAAGTGGAACAAAATATATTGGATAATTTAAACTTTTTTAACAAATAAAAACTGAAAAGTGGGGCGTGCAATATTATTTGGCCCCTTTACTTTCAGTGCAGCAAACTCACTCCAGAAGTTCAGTGAGGATCTTTGAATGATCCAATGTTGTCCTAAATGACTGATGATGATAAATAGAATGCACATGTGTGTAATCAAGTCTCCGTATAAATACACCTGCTCTTTGATAGTCTCAGGGTTCTGAGCGCATAGAGAACCTTGAAGACAAAGGAACACACTAGGCAGGTCCGAGATACTGTTGTGGAGAAGTTTAAAGCCGGATTTGGATACAAAAAGATTTCCCAAGCTTTAAACATCTCAAGGAGCACTGTGAAAGCAATTATATTGAAATGGAAGGAGTATCAGACCACTGCAAATCTACCAAGACCCGGCCGTCCCTCCAAACTTTCATCTCAAACAAGAAGAAGACTGATCAGAGATGCAGCCAAGAGGCCCATGATCACTCTGGATGAACTGTGGATAACTACAGCTGAGGTGGGAGAGTCTGTCCATAGGACAACAATCAGTCGTGCACTGCACAAATCTGGCCTTCATGGAAGAGTGGCAAGAAGAAAGCCATTTCTCAAAGATATCCATAAAAAGTCTCGTTTAAAGTTTGCCACAAGCCACCTGGGAGACACACCAAACATGTGGAAGAAGGTGCTCTGGTCAGATGAAACCAAAATCGAACTTTTTGGCCACAATGCAAAACGATATGTTTGGCGTAAAAGCAACACAGCTCATCACCCTGAACACACCATCCCCACTGTCAAACATGGTGGTGGCAGCATCATGGTTTGGGCCTGCTTTTCTTCAGCAGGGACAGGGAAGATGGCTAAAATTGATGGGAAGATGGATGGAGCCAAATACAGGACCATTCTGGGAGAAAACCTGCTGGAGTCTGCAAAAGACCTGAGACTGGGACGGAGATTTATCTTTCAACAGGACAATGATCCAAAACATAAAGCCAAATCTACAATGGAATGGTTCACAAATAGACGTATCCAGGTGTTAGAATGGCCAAGTCCAAGTCCAGACCTGAATCCAATCGAGAATCTGTGGAAAGAGCTGAAGACTGCTGTTCACAAACGCTCTCCATCCAACCTCACTGAGCTCAAGCTGTTTTGCAAGGAAGAATGGTCAAGAATTCCAGTCTCTCGATGTGCAAAACTGAGAGACATACCCCAAGCGACTTGCAGCTGTAATTGCAACAAAAGGTGGCGCTACAAAGTATTAGCGCAAGGGGGCCGAATAATATTGCACACCCCACTTTTCAGTTTTTTATTTGTTAAAAAAGTTTAAATTATCCAATACATTTTGTTCCACTTCACGATTGTGTCCCACTTGTTGTTGATTCATGACAAAAAATGTAATTTTTATATCTTTATGTTTTGAAGCCTGAAATGTTGAATACTTTCGCACTGTATATGACCTAGTACGTCAAAAAACAAGTATGTTAAATATGATTCTGTACTCCATGGAAAGCCAGTGGAGAAATTTTAAACACTGTAGTTATATCTTCTCCCTTTTTGTGCCTGTTCATATCCTTTTTGCTGTGAACAAGCTGAAAGCTCTTTATGGAGGATTGAGGGCACGCTGCAAGCAGTAGTCGAGCCGTGCCGTGACAAATGCGTGGATCAGGTTTCTGCGTCCTAATTGTGGATATATTGCGCCGTTTTGGTTGCTTGGTTTAGAAGAGGGGTCAAAAAACTGTGCCACAGGAGGTTAAGCACACACAGTTGTAGTCCTGTTTGAAATGTGCAAATAAATCTGCTATCACATGGTTACATGGCTATTAAATATGAAAGAAGACACTTTCACCTATGGAATCATTTTCTAAAAAGAATACTGATAACTTTAGTGTATTTCTTCAGGTGCATCCTGTCCATGATGCATTCTTGGCACTGACTACAGATGGCATCAACTTTATTATGAACAGCCAGGAAATTTGCAACGTGATCAATCAGTGCCACGACCCTAAAGAAGCTGCTCAGAGGATTTCTGATCAGGTCAGGAATAATCTTGTATTTATGGAGTCACACACAAGGTGGCAGTGAAGCCCAGCATGTGAAAGCTGGATCTTGACTACCAAAGTGACGTTGTGGTTTCCCCTTCAGGCTCTGCAGTACGGCTCCGAAGACAACAGCACTATCATCGTAGTCCCATTTGGTGCGTGGGGAAAGAACAAAAGCTCAGATTCCAGCTTTTCCTTCAGCCGTAGTTTTGTGTCGAGTGGTCGCTGGGCGTAGAGTCCCGGATGTGGACCGTGCGACGTGTGCAATACAGTGACTAAATGGTGCTTTTTGCGCGCTATTCTATATCCTGTTGTATTTGAAGGTGTTTTAGAGTAGCATGGTATTTGTCTCTGTTTTGAGAGGCAGTTCATGACGTGCACTGAACAAAGCATTCATACAAAGTTTTATTGAATTAAAGCCAATGACCTTATAAAAAGTTCCCTGATAGCAGTTACTTGAGCAACTTTAAAACAAAGCTTCTACTGCAGAACAGTTAAGAAGTGCTTTTTTAATGACTGTCCTGGTACACGTTTTAGAATGAGTTAGATTAAGGCCACAACAATTTTGTTGTATACATTTATTCTAACATTGGCAGTTGCAGTCAACACTAAAAAGATTATATATCTGTCTTTGATTTAATTTATAATGATAATGTATTATCACTATTTTAAAGAAAGATGATTTATTTTTCTTTTATGATAAGCCTGCTACAAGTCCCATTTACTTGACCCCGGAAATCCCTGCTCAAAGCTGTATTTTAGTCATTTTAAGCAATTGAAAGAATGCCGGCCCAAAACACACAAAAGTTGCTGCATTAATTGTTATATACTTAAATGTGTGTACCAGTGCTACTATGGGTTATCTTGTAAGGACACTCGGAAATGTTCACGGTACAGGAATGTATAGGTTTTGTATATAATTCTATTTATATACCCATCTGCACGCTCTGTTTAAATGGTATGTACAATAGTAACATGCTTGTATCCTTTGTTGTCATAAGTGCTTTTTATTGCACTTTGTTTATTAGGAAAGCACACTTAAGAAACACTAGACTTGTCTGTAAACCTGTAACATCGAGCAAATCCTGCACAATATGTCGTGTAAAAAATAAATATATATATATATTTAAAATCTGGCTGAAATGCATACGCATGACTTCAAATTGTGTATTTTTATTTGTGACATTGTGCAGCTGTTAAGTACTTGTTTCACCACTCTCCATCCTGCTTTAGTCGTTCATCCTATACATGGACAGAATTCAGTTTATTTATGGAATGCCCCTTGATGTGCTAGCTCGTTTTTGACAGGGTCCATAAACACAAAACACTAATTACAATTAACAAAACTCAGTACTATATACAAACAGGACAAAACATACATTAGGACACACACAAAACAAGCTTGTTCCATCGTCTTCCAAAACCCAATACATATCATATGTCTGTTTATGGTTTTCTTCTCATCTCATCTTGTATAATTTAAAGTTTTTATAATTGTCTCAGCTATTTTCTTTGTGACTGTTGGTACAACAATTTATAACCTCAAATAATAAACTTAAACCTCAAAAGTTTGGGAGCAGTCTGTTGTGCTTTATTGTGCGTTTTAGGTGTGGTGCTTTGTAGGGTTGTGCTGGCAGCATAAGGGTTAAACCTGAGACCTGCCTCCTGGTGAAGTCTGGTGGAAATGCACCTGTTACCAGTGTCATGAGCTGATGTTGCAGAGAAGCAGAAGACACACTCAGACTAGTTTGCAGCAGCACATGCTCCTGGCCTGGTAAGACGCCTTTTATATATAGTTAAAGCTGGGGTACTTTTATTTTTCCTTAATTCTACCATTTGTATCAACAGAAGGATCTCTGTGAGTCTGTATTTTATGATTTCGGCTGAGAGCTAAACGTAATAAACTAAAAGTAGTCCTCTCTTTTTAACTTTATGAGAAAGATGATCTAAAGATGTGACAGAGGCCAAACTAGTGCGTTGGTTAAGTAGTGAGTAGTGAGAGAATCAACTGGTTTGTCAGCTGGCCTCTGCAGTTTAAGTCCTTCTGTAAGTTCTCCCTGTTATAGATGATTGGGTGACAATATGAATCCACAGAGGTAAAAATCTTATTGATGCTGCTGCAAACTAGCAAATTAATAAAGCGTATAATCGCACAAAAATAAATTGGATATTCAATTTTCACCATTTTGAGAACAAATCTACTATTTACAAAGTAAGCTAATAATCACTTTAATTCAGACCAGACTTGTCTTGTCTGGTCTGAAGGGGTCCGCTTTCAACTTGTTGCCATAGATATGTTATTGTCTTGCTGGATAATTTAAGTGCTTAAAAACCTGAGTTCTTAGGGTGAGAAGTATTGTATTGTAGTTTACATTATAATAAAGGTCTGTAGGACATTCCAGGCAAAAAAAGCATTCAGATGAACCCAAGCAAAAAAGTCTTGACAAGAAAATTCTCAATTGCAATAAAAGATCACTGTGGCTGTGATTGTAATTATGTGTTATGTATTAATGGTAACACACAGTTTTCTAAGACTTGTTCTGTGAATCCAGATTTTTTTTTTTAAACTGCTGATAAGGCTATGTGAGAAGATGTCACCAGTTGTGATAATTCAAATAGTTATCCAAGGGTTGCAGAATGTGCAGAGCTTTTCCATTGTTTTTAAAATTTTAAATTTAAAATCTCATAAAGCCGCACAAAATAAAAACATGAGAATAGCAGAAAAGCAACTGGAGCCGTTCTGAAGTGGACCTCCTTACCTTGAGGGTCCACTATCATCCATCATTTGTTATCCTTGCCTTATGCCTTGCAGTTCAGACTTATGCAGATTTATGTTACATAACTTAACAAAGACCGAAGAAATAAAATAATATCGATCAACCAACACAAAGACAGAGGTTTTCAATTCATGCAATATATATTGAAGTTTGTAAAGAAATATTACCACAATGATATTTGTTTGATCAGCCGATTATACATTTTTCTTAATTTTTTGTGAAGTAGAATCAAAAGTAAATATTTCATCTTGGTTTTTATCAAAAATATAATATGTGTGATTTTTTTCACGTTTCCATTCACACTGTTATTTCTAACACAGCTGAATATGCTTTCACTTTATTAAATGACTTTGAGTTGCCCTACACAGTATGTATGAATTGTGCTATAGAAATAAACTGGCCTTTCCTCATTCATGTACTTTATGGTGCAGGGAAATGGAACGAGCCAATCACATAAACATTGCAATGGTGGAAGACATAAGCACCAACGGCACAGGCTGCAGGTCTGAGAGGTCGGCCGGGGCAGAGCCGTGTGGAGCCACCGTGAGCTTCCACCACCTCCACTACTCTGTGCCTGAGGGCCGCAAGCACAAAGACCACACCAGCAACGGACACATCCTGATGGACCTCAAGTTTGTGCGCCTTTATGTCACTGCAGCCTTTTTCGAGAGAGAAATACTGCCTTTTATTTAAAAAAAAAAAAAAGTGAAACATTTCAATTCAAACAATTGGCTTTTTTAAGCTAATAAATTATATGTACCATTACCTGCATGTTTTCTAACTTAGGTTTTAGTTTAACGTTTCTCTTCAAACAGAAATATCTATATTTCAAAGCTTGTGCACAAAAAAATGGTTTAGACATTACATTTTGGTCAGAGAGTGTCGATGAGAGTATCGTCAGTCTCTCATGCCCTTTGGTTAATTTCGATATTGATAAGTCTTTTACTACTTTTTTTCTTTATTATAGCACCATAAATAGTAAAAAAATATCTAATTGTATAAAGTTATTTCTTCAAACAGAAATATTCCTAATGTATAGATACAGTGCATAATTATAATGTATAATTAATATATAAAAGTTTATAGGTGAACCTTGGAAAGATAGAACAGTTTATATGGTCTGTTTTTCACACACAACGTGACATATGCCAGTCCTCTGTGTGTTATAATTGTTCAAACTTTTCAAACTTTTCTATTTTTTTTAGACATTTGATGAGGGTCTTTACAAGCTGTGAACCATAAGTAATTCGTCTTATATTGTTTTCACATTGTAAGCTGAATTACAGTAGTAAGTGGACTTTCGAACCGGATTATAATTTCCCTGTTGTAGAAAGTATTCTCTTTAAATTAATAATTAGATGGAGAACTAACAATTTCCTTTGAGCATCATTATTGTATTGGTTATTGTCTTTACAGTGGGGTCATGAAGCCAGGTCTGAATGCTATTCTTGGTCCTACTGGAAGTGGCAAGTCTTCGTGAGTACCCAGTGTTTTAGTATCGATATTTACTCTTTAACCATAATCTATAACCAGAAATGATATACAATAGACTTGTCCAGAGGTGGGCAATTATTTTCTTCAGAGAGCCACACTGTCCGAACCTAGAGGGCCGGACTTAATTTCATGTGGTTCATTTTTATTTTGATGAATAAAATCTAAAGAATATATATTACTATTTTTTATTACCACTAATGTTGGCACAGGTAACTTACTAAGAACATTTTGGATTCATTAATGAGAACAAAATAAAAGTATGAAATGCCATGGTAGCAATAAGCCAAACCTCCTTTGGCTTATTTAAATTGGAATTATCTAGATATCTTACCATTCCCTGTGCATGTTACTAGCTGTTTTTTACTTTTTTATTATAGTATATATATATATATATATATTTTTTTTTATTTTTTATTTTTTTTATTTTGTAATATCTGGATGTATATTTTAAGTTGTATTATTCTATCACCCGCAGTATGTATGGCCTGTATTTGACTATTTTGTATACAGTAATGATGTATATGTTTTTGGAATGTGTTCTTATAGTAGGAGGTGGAGTTGGATCTGAGGGAGCAAACCTGTGTGTGTTAAATGTATAAATGTTAATTGTTTGTATGTACTGTATTATATGTATTGTGTTTGTTTGTTTTATGTTCATGGGACCCTCTCGAAAATGAGATGCTGCATCTCAAGGGGTTTTCCCTTAATAAATCTGAATCTAAATCTAAATAAGAGTTCCTTTATTTGTCCCACAGTGGGTAAATTTTGATAATAATACAAGCCTTCATTGAGTATTGACTCCTGATTCATTTTAAAAAAGCAGTTCGAGGTTAACAACTGGGAAGGGTTTGTACATGTTGCCCAGGTCTGGACTAGAACATGCAGCTTTCACACTGTCCTACATCATAATGTTTCTTTTCTTCTTCCTAGATTCTTGGATATACTGGCCGCGAGGAAAGACCCTACCGGTGTGTCTGGGGAAGTGCTCATAAATGGAGCGGCACAGCCTCCATACTTCAAATGTATCACTGGATATGTAGTGCAGGTGCTTCAACTCAGCTCAGAAAGTACCATCTCTGTGTGCATCTTTCTATGTCACATTACTTTTCTCATCTGTGCAATAATATGTTTTAGAAAGTGCTGCTTACATGTACAGGTGTGTACATGTAACAAAATATTTCTGCGCTCGCATATACTGTACTAAAGACTTTATACTTAGTTATTTTTCATGCTAAAGTTAGAGATTTTCACTTTATTCTTGCTTCTTTATAATGCTAAAGTTGTAGATTTTATAATAATGTAGAGTTATTGTTTATCTATCTTGTGATATGTGCTCCTCATTACTACTGTTCAATGCAACATTTTCCCCACTGTGGGACAAATAAAACATCTCTTAGTCTTAATCTTTCATTCAACACATGTTTTTTTTTACAGGAGGACGTCGTCATGGGCACGCTAACTGTGAAGGAGAACCTCCGCTTTTCTGCAGCTCTCAGATTGCCCACCTCTGTTCCACAAAGCGAGAAAGAGACTAGAGTCGATCACCTCATCCAAGAACTTGGACTCACAAAAGTTGCAGATACTATGGTAAGTTGTGTCTCTGTTTTTACATTATCCTGCGAGTGTTTGTTGTGAAGTATGGTGCTGGTGTGGTAGGTGGGCAGTCCGATGTCTAGGGGGATATCAGGAGGCGAGAGGAAACGAACAAACATAGGCATGGAGCTGATCGTTGACCCTGCTGTGCTCTTTTTGGACGAACCGACCAGCGGACTGGACGCCAGCACAGCCAACTCTGTTCTACTGTTGCTCAAGAGGTGGTATAACTAAAAAAATTATATATATTTTTTTTGTGATCAAATGTTTATTGAAGAAGAAATATTATGCACCATGTGTGAACCTACAAAATTATATCAATCAATCAATCAACCTTTATTTGTATAGCACCTTTCCAACAAAAGGCAACTCAAAGCGCCTCACAACCCACATCATATCCAGCAAATCAGCAATATTTAAAATCTACATATACATGCTTCTCAGAGTCCGGGCCGGTTACTATGGCACTAACATGTCGCTAATATATTTTGGTGCGAGGCTATGGAGAGACTTGTACACAAGCAGAGCTGTTTTAAAGTCTATTCTCTGAGCCACAGGAAGCCAGTGCAGAGACCTGAGGACTATATTGAGAACAAATAATTGCCAAATTCATGTTTTAGAATGTTAATATCTTCAGTAGAAAATATATGATGAAACAAGAACATTTCTGGCTGCAAACACAGCCTTGTGATTGAAAAGAACAATATTTAGTATATAATATCTAGTATTTAGTGTTACATATTTATTATTCTAGTTTACAGGAAAGAGCTGTGTCATAGAATTACAATTATATTCTGTTACAAGACTCAGACATGAGCTTTTAGGTCAGATTTTGATGAGGGAACAATATTTGTGCATAATATGTCTCCTTTAAAACTTAAGACTCATTGACACACATTACATTTAAACCTGTTATATGTCTAAAATATGTCCTTTGGTCCTTGGTAGAATGGCTGGTCAAGGAAGAACCATCATTATGTCCATCCATCAGCCGCGTTACTCCATCTACAGGCTGTTTGACACTCTCACATTGTTGGTCAATGGAAAACTGGTGTACCATGGACCAGCGCCCAGTGCCATGGACTACTTTGCCAACATTGGTAATACATAGTTGTGTAGGTTATAATTTGTGTTTGATATGGGTAAGATAATGACAGAATCCTCACACAGGATATCAATGTGAGCCACACAACAACCCTGCAGATTTCTTCCTGGATGTCATAAATGGAGACTCTACAGAAAGAGCAATGATAAAGCTGCAAGGTTTTGAAAATAATTGAAGGTAACTTAACATTAAACACGGTTTATTATTTACATGTATGTGTGTGTGTGTGTGTGTGTGTAGATTTGGACTTTGAAGACCTGAACAGCTCAAGGAAGAGTATCGAGGAGCATTTAGTTGAAGAATACAGGAAAAGCTGCTATTTCAGCAACACACAGTGTGAACTTGAATGCATTGTCCAAGAAAAAAAGTGCAGGTCAGGACCACTGTGTCACACAGTCAACTACAACAGCCCCTTCTTCCATCAACTGCACTGGGTAATGAAGAGGACCTTTCAGAACCTCCTGTTAAACCCTCAGACATCTGTGGCACAGGTAACAAGCTTCATTTAAACCATGTCCCCGTTCTTCTGTGACATTGAAGCCCAGTTCCCACCAGCCCTATACTTGGCCCGACTCTACTCAGATTCAGATTCAGATTCATTTATTTGCCATTTGCAGTAAAACCACAATGGAAAAACTGTGCAAGACTACTCCAGTGTGCACCAGACAGAGAAGACGACACACACCAGAGCTCTTGCCACGACGCCATCTTTACGGTGCCATGCGACAAACCGTAGAATAAACGGCAGAGAGCAGTAACATACATATCACAAGACAGTTTGGATAAGACACATTATGTTTTGGATAAAACACAGACGTTTTACTCTGCTCTACTCTGCTCTAGTATCTAGAACTGTATTCTGGCAACTTACTCACAGCCAGCTAGTATCTAGGGTAATTCCTTGTTAATCATTGTTGCTCCCAGCAGTTCTCAAAACAATAACTGACAGTTGGAATACATTAGTACCAGCTGGGTCCTGGTTATAGTGCCAAGTAGGTACTAAAAAGTACTTGGTACAAGTTACAAAACAATACAATACAATTTATTCTTGTATAGCCCTAAATCACAACAGAAGTCATCTCAGAGAACTTAACAAAACCATTGAAATCACCAACACAGATCAGAGAATCAACAGTTAAGACACAAAAAGAATATTGAACACATGTTGATAAATGTCCACACATGTTGTAGAATGACTAAAGTGTCCTGGATCATCACCAAAGTCCTTTTTGTTGGACACTAACTGTCTAAGGTAAACAGGGCCAGTGGAAACACTCTTCTCCGATTGATGTCGGAGAGTACAGTACAGTATGGCCAAGGAAGGAAGGTTGAAACAGAGCTTTGTGGCGAGTGAGTGTGCTCAGAGTGATCTTATAGTTTGGACCAGCACACGCAGACAGCAGAGCAGGGTCAGCACTTAACGCTCTCATTAGTCCTCTCATGGCGTCAAAAGCCATCAGAAGTCCTCACTTTCAGAATTATTAACAGCTAATTGGCCCTGGATAAGTCACAATAATCCTTCAAAAGTGGCTCTGGGCGGAATGGACGTGCTAATCGGCTTATGTGACTGTTGTGACCCTGCTATTGCCTTTCCGTGGCGGATCTGCACTGATATCATATCTGGCCAAAGCCCCTTGGCCTCAGTGAAGTCCTCACATGATGGCGCCATGACCTATCAGTGCAGTGGCCTGCTTTCACATGAGAAATCAGGGGGAATGAGGTGAAAAAGGCTCACCCTTAGCAGCTTATCCCCCTCACCCTGGGAACTGCTTTGCTCTGTCCTAATCTGTCAATTGCTGGGATTAAAACTTGTGTTGCTTTTTGTTTTTCTCACTCTTTTCTCTCATTGCCTTTGACCACGTGTTCGTGTTGTTTTATCTGATGAAGGGCTTTGGGGAACAAGAGGGACGAATACTTAACCATTAAGCTCCAAAAGTCTGATTTACTTTGAGAAGCAGACCGTATAATGAGGGCTCATGGAACAGAACATAGACAAATGAATACCAAAAGCACTTGACAAAATTGGTACATGTAGTTTATCATTCAATATGTTTATTAAATACATTTTTTCATTGTTTTCCCAACAGGTGACTGTTCATATTTTTCTTGCTTTAATCGTTGGTGCCATTTTTTACTCAGTTAAAGATGATCAGAGTGGAATCCAAAACAGGTAAAGGATTTTTTTTTAAACACAAGCACATTAATCCATTTCTTAGTATAGTAAAGCCTGGTGCAGAACCAATCTAACACCTCCTAAACCTCTCTCAATCATGTGCAAGTCCTAACTATAAGGCCTTAATATCATTATGGTCAGTGCATGGGCGGTACAGCAGACCCCTGTGTAGCCCACCTCCTTAGAAGTAAGGCCATTGCTCAAGTCTCTTACAGCAATAATCTTCTTGAAGATCTTAATCATTTCAAAACGTATCCTCTGGGTCAATTTTTCACCACAACTGAGCCCCTCCAACAAAAAAGTACCTCTACTAGTGTATTTTTCAGCCCTGTTTTTTACGTACATGCTGATAATGTGCCTGTTGACTTTGTTTAAGAATATCAATATTAGTAGAATATACAGAGTTTTTTTGAGCAATCTTTTAAACAGAATGGGCGAAGCAGCATATTTGTGTCAGGACTTAAGTTCCAAATAATAGCGTGGATTGATCTGAAAACAACCCCGGGTCAGAGGAACAGAGTAATAACATGGTCAACAGCTCAAATAAAATATCTCAAATTAAAGGTTGAAGCTTTTCTTTGAGGAGGAAACTCTTTTTCTTTTAAGGCTTGTAATGTGATTCTGAATTGCATACATTTCTGAAATTAAATGAATTACTATTATACTACTGGTCTGGTTGACATAGCCCCTTGTTCTGCTGAAAATGTCACACTTAAGACTTTGTGTGTCTACTTCTAAGAATAAATACTACGCATAATAATTTATCTTAAGATTAATGACACTATTTACTTTAAATAAATAGGCCTGCCCTATCCCTATGCTACCACTAGAGGGGGTTATAGAATATGTTGCCAGCAATCACTGCCACGTGATTGTAAAGAGCACAATTTCATTTGAGGAATTGCTAAAAAATAATAATTATTGGCCAACATTTTTGTAAAAACAAAAATCACAGTCGTACAATGACTATTACCGGACTGAGACAGGAGCTTTTAGGCAGAAGAGGTTTCTGATATTAGCGTAGATGTATCTATAAAAAACACCAGGTCTGTGACTGATGAGGGAACACTCTTGTAACATGATCGAAAGCTCAAAACAGTGGATTTAGCATATATAGTTTCCTTTGAAATATGAATATTTTCTATTAATTAGGTAAAGCAAGACATGCTTTATTGCTCCTTGTACAGATATGTGTCTTCTGCATTTGACCCATCCTGCCATGCCAAGAGAGCAAATCTGTGCAGTGTGGCCTGGGGGCCATATGCGACCTAATTCACAGTTTTGTGCGGTTCCCAGACCCTTCCCACCTTAATTCTCATTATACTAATAATGTAGGCTCATAACTTTAAATCTGGTACCATGGCCTCTTATTAACAAACCCAAAAAGTTATTTGTAATAATTTGCTCTATGTAAAATGTCCACAAAGGCAACACTGGATATCTGCATGTGTTTTTATTTTAATACAGATTTGAAGTTTCATTGAATCAAATTAGAAATTAATCACATGAAATTGGGTCTGGCCCTCCACCATAGGGCAATGCCCCAATGACGCCCCCTGACAAAAATAATTGCCCACCCCTGCACCAGAGCCTCTGTCAGGAGAAGTGGGGGCCCATGTCCAGATGTTGAGGCGCAGCTTGGTTTTCAGATCTTCAGCCTTCAGTGTTAACCTCACTTGTCCAATGCATATGTGCTACAATACAATTTAATCTTGTGTAGCCCTAAATCACAACAGTAGTCATCTCAGAGGACTTAACAAAACCGTTGAAATCACCAACACAGATCAGAGAATCAACAGTTAAGACACAATAAATATGTGCTCAATATTGTTGGATTTTCATAATCTCCTTTTTTTGTTTCTTGTAGAATGGGTGCCCTTTTCTTCATCACCACGAACCAATGTTTCAGCACAGTGTCTGCAGCAGAGCTCTTCATTGTCGAAAGGAAGTTATTTGTGTAAGTCAAATCATTTGGATATTGTGTCAAGAATGTTCCTGCTCAGTGCATGCAGTCATGTTAATGTTGACTGTCTTGCAGGCATGAGTACACCAGTGGATACTACAGAGTGTCTGTCTACTTCCTGTCTAAGATCTTTGCTGATATGCTTATGCGCACCATCACCTCTGTTATCTTCAGTGGCATTGTATACTTCATGATTGGTAAAAAAAAACTCAACAACATTTTCACTATCCTCGAGGCAAAGCTGATAACATATTGCACTATATCATTGAACTATATATACTTAATTCTCCAATAAGGTTTTATATTATCTCTATTTGGTTGCTCTCAGGGTTGAAAAGAACATTGGAAGCCTTCCTCATCTTCACTCTGACAGTCATGCTTGTGGCCTACACTGCCACTGCCATGACTCTAGCCATCGCTGCCGATCAGAGCGTGGTGGCGTTGGCGAACATCCTCATGACCATAACATTCGTCTTTATGATGGTAACCAAAACTAAAGCATCCTGTTCCCCCCCCCCCCCCCCCCCCCCCGTACATTATACATTGAGTTTTGTAAAAGCAAAAACGCATCCATCCACACAAACAAAACAAATAAATAGATCAATCTGAAAAGTTAACAATAGTAATAATTACAGTCTATTTTCAAAAGGTTTTTCTGATTTATTTTACTTGCCGTTTTTAAAGATATGAGCCAATTATCAACATTATAACAAATGAAACATTGATATTTCTCACTTTACGTGGGATTGGTGTGTGCGAATACGTCCTTCACAAAAACAGTGCCATTAGACAAATATTAGAAACGCTTACACTATGCCCCTTTTTTGACAAGCCAACATTTTTTTTAGTGCCATTTAATAGAAATTCTTTCAAATTTACTGCCAATAAGAAAACATGTTGAGGTTTTGTGAAAATGATTGATAAAAATGCCTTATTATTATCATTATTAGATTTCAGCTACAGGAATACAACTTTGCCAAATTTACAAAACAGAGATATTTGTTTTTGCAAGTAGACTCTTGAATTATATTTTCATTTTCCGAGTGTCACCTGTAGTTCCCTGTGGTTTGATAGTTAGGTACCCCACCTTAAACTGCAACAAGCTTCTATTTTGACTTCAATCACTGTTTTTGCGCATAGATTTTCTCTGGGCTGTTGGTGAACCTTCCAAGCATCGTAGACTGGCTTTCTTGGCTGAAATACTTGAGCATTCCTCGCTACGGCCTTGCAGTAAGTGATTTCTACAACTGACATGGATTATGCATCAATTAAGAATGACTGTGACTATATATATATTTTAGGCCTTAGAGGTCAATGAATTTATAGGTTTGAAATTCTGTGAGGAACATTTCACTGAAACCTCGACAAACGGCAAGATGAACTGCACAATGAGCACGACTGACTTGAAGTGAGTTCTTTTCTTCTACTCAGACCCAATACATACAAGGTGACATATACTAAGCCTGTGTTTCAAAATATTCTAGTTTTCTGTAATGATTTTTGGGTGGTTTATACAAGCCGTGAGCCAATTATCCACATTATAACAAAATGAAGGGTTGATATATCTTTCTTTGTGTGTACCAAGTCTGGATTTTCCGAGTTTCACCTGTATAAAGCCAACACTTTAGAATAGCAGACAAATAAAAAAAAATTATGGAACAGGATTTAAATAATTATAATTTCATTTCATGTTGCAGGTGTAGAGGAGAGCAGTATCTGGAGTACCTGGGAATTGAGTACACGGCCTGGGGACTGTGGAAGAATCATGTTGCTTTAATCACAATGATGGTCATATTTCTGATTATTACCTATTTAAAACTACGCTACATGAAAAAGTTGACCTAAACATCAGACTTTATTGTTCCCTTTTGAAATACACTTTTTAAATAGTTCTGCTTTAAGTTGCATTCAGTAATTATTATGTCTGGAACAATATCATTTGGGGTTTGATATATATTTTCTGTATAATTTCTTTGCTTCTTTAAGAGATCTTTAACTGTGATTTTGCAGTGATTTAGCGACATGGTTTTGATTAAGTCTCTTCTATTGTAATTCTGTCTACTATTTAGTTGCGCTGCTCAGGCGTTCTAATGATACTGTGCACATAAAATGGTTTTCTATGATCATCCTGCTTTGGAAATAACATTGAAACAACAGTGAAGATGACAATGCTATCAGTATAAGTAGGAGAGTGCTGAGAGCTATGACTGATAGAAAGTCAGGTAAAACAAATACAAGACATGAATGTAATACAGTAGAAGTCTGTAAAAAGTAAGTTTTGTCTTATGTTTAAAGCTTAGCAGGTTCAAAACTTTTCTTTGGATGGTTTAAAACAAACCTTGTTCACACATTAGAATGGCCCGGTCAAAATCCAGACCTATTACATCTGAAAATCTGACCTGCACTTCTGATGGAGTCTACAAAGGATCCCCAAAAGATTTGAATCTGGAATTGTAGTAAAAAGAGGTCTACAATGTAATAAATGCAGAATTCTTATTTCCGTTTTTCTTTAGTTTTTAAACAAGCACAGGCTTATCCTAAGAAATACATGAAGGGCGTGCACTTTTTTATTCACATTCAACTCTTGACCATGATTATAGGCAGAGTCAGTCATTCTCAATGGGTTTGTATTTCAATGATTACTCGATCATTAGCATGCGGCACATCCAGAATAATTTTTTTTGAAAGATCTCTGTAGTATTATCTTGTGCTTCAAAATAAACCAGCTGGCAGATGTTCCTCTGTCTTCAAATGTATAAGTACAAATAAAGAATAAACTATAATTTTGTTTGTACTGTATTTATTGTGTACAAAAGACATGAACATAAAGAGTATTGTGACTTCTTGTTGTGATAAAAGGCAGGATGTAGAAAAATAAGGCACATTGTATGTCAAATAAATGCATGGGTTTCCCATGAACACTAGATGCACTCCAAATTGAAGTTTGTTTAATGTTACAATATGCATTACAAATGTGTATTAAGCTATTATAGAAGCTTTACAGGTGTACAGAAGGTGAATATATATGGCAGAATTAGCCACACTTGTACCTAATGTATGTTAATTAAGAAACATTGCATGTAACATTCAAACAAATGGCTTTATGAGATTTGGTGGAATACAAAAAGCAGCTGAGCACTTAATCTGTAAAGCGTGCTACGATACACATACACAGTACCTTTATGAAATTCAAATATTATTATTTTTCCAAACTTTTCTACTTGTACCAATAGTGCGATGCAGTCCGATATTTAAAAGAAGCCTGTTTCTTTCAGAGATTGTGCAAAAGTGTGTTCTTGTGTCCCTCATTACTTCATACAGGAAATTGTCCAGCTCCTTCTTTCCATGGCAAAGTGACAGCTTCAGCCCAGGCCTCACACATGTCCGTTGCTGAGGATAATGCTGCTCTCCGGCCCCTCAGTGGACATAGAGGAAGGGGTGTGGGCTCGCTGGCCCACAGGTGTAGCGACCTGGGCTTGGCTCACCTGTGAGGTCATGTCATCAGATTCCCAACGATCGAGCTCCTCCCTCACCAGTCTCTCCATCTGCTCCCTGTGCCCCTCTGTGTCTCGCCCTAGCCGCTCATCCTGTCACACACAAACACATGAGGAGTCAGGATATATATACAGTGTGTATGTGTGACAAAGAATGTGGTGTTTGGAGAAGACCATACTTCTATAACTCCGTCCAGAAGTCTGCCAAGCACGTCTCTTCTTTTGACTTTGGCCCTTTCCATGGTCTCCAGCTTCACAATCACTGCATCTATCTTAGACACAATGCTGCCAATAGAGTGTTCCATTCTATCCACGCGCCTCACCAGCCTGAAAAGGGGAAAATATATTACCACTGTTTGACATCACACAGACACACACACATATGTACTGTGTGTATATATATATATATATATGTTACATTTACTAAAAATAGAACAATCGCTTATTACACTTGAAACTCCTCGTAGGACACGCCCCCAGAGCTGCTGCCCCGACGACGAGAACTGTGTCCACTGTCCTCGTCATCGTCCTCTTCGGAGTCCTCTTGTGGTCGTGGGAAGCTTCGCCCAGTGCTCGGTCTGCCCATAGAATTACGCTCCAGATCCAAGTCCTCCTAGCAGGAGCACAGGCACACAGAGCCATGTGAGCAACAGATCTATAGTCGCATAATAGCCAATAGTCACCACTAACTTTTGGGGAAACTCAGAAAATTAGAATGCCAATTTCAAAGTCGTGCAAAGTGCATTAATTAATAGATTCAAAAATTGCACAAGCAACAGTTGAAGAAAAATAACACATCTGCATACACTCACTCATCCTCATTCTGTTTATAGTGGTAATTACCAATGGTAATTAAGGAGATTAGGGAGACAGAACAGATAGATAAAATGATCATGCTGGAGAAATTGTATCTTTGTAGAGGCGCATGCTGGAGAAATTGTATGTTTCTATCGGTATGGGAAATCGGGGCACAGAGAGAACATGCAAACTCCACTCAAAATTGTGTAATCGAGCAATGAAGCAAGGGAAGTACAGATGAGACATTGCCCTGACGTCTAAAAATATATATGAATAATAAAGACTATAATAACATCTTTTTTCAGAGTATTCTGGGTTTCCTGCATGCACTGCTTCTTTGAGGCCAAGCCACAAAGTGTCCTTTTGGTTTAGATCAGTAGTCTGTGAAAACCAAAACCTTCAGCTCATGCTAAGCATCATTATCCAGAAAGGAATATGCTTTTAAACATGTATTAATTTATAGAATGTATTCAGACATATCGTTTTAAATACTGTCTATCTGAAATAGAAAAAGGAAATCTAGCTCTGGGATGAATGGAATTCAACTCGAGGCTTGACATTGGATTTTAATGAGACAAAAGCATCCGTAATCATTTCAACATCCTCTCACTTCTTGCAACTTTTTTTATCCTCAAAATCGGCTTTACAGGATGGTCCAAAAGTCGGCTCTTGGCTCAACACTACGTTCCAGGTGCATGTCAATGCTGAGGGGAGTTTTTTTTTTTTTTTGGACCAGCCTAGTTTTGCTGCTGTGGACTTTTGAACGCACGCAATGAATGGGACTCATGCCGGCTAACGCAAAAGCGTTATTACACATTTTCCTGAGGGAGGGGCTGACCACGGCCATTTTGAATCTACTCATGTCTATGGCACATAAATTTCAACAAAGAAAAAATAGGCGTCACAATGTCCGTTGATATTTATAGTCTATGACCAGAACTGGACCAGGACAGAACCAGGACTGAACCCGGACTGAACCAGGACTGGACCAAGTGTGAAATTGGACTGGAACAGAACTGGACCAGGACCAGAGGATCGCCCACATAGTTTACTGCTACGTGGGCTGTTGCTTCTGCTGTGCATGTGTTTCTGATTCTAATGATTGCTAACTTGAAGTTGTACTTTGATCCTACGAACAGTACAAGTGTGGTACTTGACTAGAAGTACCTGATTACTTTCCATCATCTTATCAGTCCCTCCAGGATTTCACGGGCAATTATTGTGATTGTTGCGAGCTAAAATACTTGATTTCGTGGGACATTATTCCAAAGGTTGCAATGGCATGTCGCAATTTTCCAAACAATACATTTTCAATCAAATATAAATGGACAAATAAAGTAAACTACATCGTTTACCAAAAAAATAAATTCTTTATGGATATAAAACAAGATACAATTTTGTCAACAAGATGCGCTCTGTTTGACCGGTCACCTGGAACTGCGTACGCGGAAAGAGGAGCGTTTGGACAGGCGTGCGAACCTGGTGTGTACGGGGTGCGCTTTTCCCCCCCCTGATATGACTGAAGTGACTGTATGTTCAATCTATATGATTATATAGTACGACCTACATGGCAGAACCATGTGTGTCCGATTCAGAATGCATGCAGCTGTGAATACGACATGATTCTGTTTGCAGTTGATCAACTCACTCTCTCCTTCTCCAGATCGTCCTTCATTTGTTGGTGTTCGTGTTCTGTGAGCTCCTGGTCACCATCTTGGTCATACTTGGCAAAGATGGCCTGAATTTCTGCATCTGTATGCCCTTTTCTAAAATATAACCAGAAACATACAAAATACAGGGAGATTTGGTCAAATTACTAAAATTAACAACACAACTATGGATTTAGCATGTTTTTGCTAGTGTTATGTGACAGAACCTGTAAAGAACTAACCCCTTAAGATCTTGACGTAGTTCGTTCAAGCTGAGCTTGCCCCCTGTCTGACGCCGACTGTCCGAGATATCGTCTACGGTGGTCTTTCTGAGCCTCAGTTTCATCAGTGCTTTGTTACAGCCCTAGAAATAAAGGTAAACAAGTTCAAACTACAGCTGTAACTTTTTGAAAAACTGACACTCGACACATTTAATAAGAGCATGTAAAGCCTGGTGTCTGTGAGGTTCAACTGTCCCTTCCTTCTGACTGGGTCATTTCTTGTATTTGAGCTATAGAAATGCACGAGAGCAGACATAAGCAAAGGGCCATATTTGGCCTGATTTTTGTTCCCATTCGGCCCCTGGAACCTCCACAGTTGTCAACCTCAAGCCTTTAAAACCTACATTTTAAAAAACCAAAAAACAATAGATTCTATAGATGAAGTCTTTACACAAAGAAAACATTATATTTATTATATTTTGGCCAGTTAAAATATTTTTATTTATCAACAGAATAATTTTATAACCGAAGTAGCATGTGCAAATAGGTTTTGCCAAATTTAAGTAAATGGTAACCCCCGTGAAAACGGGTCTAGCCCCACAGAGAAAATGCCAACCCCTGCACTAGAGGGCACCTGATCGTGCTTATGCTTTGACTAAGACCAACAACAAAATTGTGTTCCCAGTCTTTAAAACTCACAGTACATCTGTGTATTTTCGTTTGGAGTGTCGACTACCTTTTTAATGAGATCTGTCATCTCCATCTCAGATCGTTGCTGGGACATATCTGCTTTCACTTCTGAATAAGTGTCATTAATGATGGCCAGGAACATATTCTGTCACAAAACAAAATACATGTGAGGTTGTGTGTTCGCATATCATATCATAAACATATGGCATATGTTCAGTCAACTCTTACCAGAAGAACAAAGAAAATGAAAATGACATAGGTGGTGAAATAGAGCGGTCCAAGCACTGGATTTGTTTCCTCGATTTCAGAAAAGTCAAAGTCTCCCAAGATAATGCGAAACTGAGTCAAACTTAAAAAAAGAAACATTATTAGCACTATATCATAAAGACATTGACGCACAGTTGATTCTTACATGCTGTCTTGAAACGTGCTAAAATCGTTGACTTGCGTCCCAAACACCAAGTATGCCAACTGTGCGTAAGCCAGGAAGATGATGAAGAACATGATGGCGAAGCCCACTAGGTCCTTTGCACAGCGGGATATGGTGGTGGACAGCTGACTCATGGTTTTGTTGATGTTAATGAACTTAAAGAGCTGAGAATATTGCAAACTTTTTAGAGCCAAATACAGAATACAAAATGTGTGTGAAATGCATACCTTGACCCATGAGAAGAACACAATGACTGCTGCTACATTGTTGTACTGGACTTGCAAGTTCGCCAAAGTCTCAAAACTGGGATGACCAGTGTGGTTCTCCAACAGGATCTTGAACAGGTTTCCTCCCATGGCTGTTCTAGTTATGTTCATGATAATTGCAACGATGCTTAACTAAAAGGAACACAACAAGCAACTATCAAACCGATCACTCTGTAATAGGTGCACAAAGCACAGCTCTAAGTATGAGTCTGGTGTGTGTGTGAATGGTTGGTGGTGGTCGAAAGGGGCCAATGGCACATACTGGTTGCCTCGCTTCTGTCAGTGTGCCCCAGGGCAGCTGTGGCTACATTAATAGCTTATCATCACTGTGCATGGAGTGAAAGAAAAATTACATGGAAGCGTCTTTGAGTGTCCTGAAATGTGCTATGTGAAACCAATGCATTATTCTTGTTATTATTATAAACATGAGAAAGAATGGACACATGTTTTAAATCAGGCGTGGGAGTGTTTGGGCCAGAGTGCGTGCGTGTGTGTGTACGTGTGCATATGAATGTGTTTATGTCACTTTAGGCTTTGAACTAAAAACAAAAATATGTATTTGATTTGAAGTCAGGGGACATACAACAGCAAAGCCACTGTTGTCCAAACTAATCAAAAGTTCCCAAGACATTTTTTAAAATTGGATTTAAATATAGATGAGAATTAAGATAAAAGCCAAAATTAGATGCAAGATTTTAAGTTAAAATATAAATAAAAATTGAGATTAAAACAAACGTTGTTACATCATGCTGTGATCAGTTAAAACAGTTGTCTATCAGTTTTGTTTTGTTCTATTTGCTGTCCATCCATTAAGTATGGCCAATGTGAAGAAAATGTACGCTGTGTGCGCTGTTCATAGCAGGTACTGTAATTCTGTATTCATTAAAACATGTTTATTAACTTAATTGTCGTATTTTGCAAATATACAAACCATGACAATGAGAACATCCAGGCAGTTCCATAAACTCTTGAAGTAATGCAGCCGATGAATCCGGATTTCCAAAGCTTCTTCCACCACATAATAAAGGATGAATAAGCAGAAGGTGATCTCGCAGACGCCCACAAAGTAGTCCCAGCTTGACACATAACGAATCAAACGCACGGTCTGAAAGTGCCAGGAGGTCACACTCCCTCCTGTTGCAGGGAACTCCACCAACAACCTGCAGAGAAAAGACCAAAGTGCGATGTTCAATTCAATCTGGACAACCTCAAGACAAAGATTGCATTAGAATTATATTTACAGACCTGTTTCTGTTTTTATAATATATTCAATTCAATACATAATTAAACAATTGAACCGGCAGAAAATTATGTGGTACTAACATAATTATTGCATTTGAACATGAAATGGTTTGGTGATTAGAACCCAGAGGAAATATGGCATGACCTGTGCACGAGTCAATTTAAATAAAGATAATGAGCTTTCAAACACCACGGGACCTAAACCCTGGTGGCGAAAGAAGACGAACCAATAACGATTCTCCACTGAAGATATGTAGATGGGGAGGAGGTGGGTCGCTGCACAAACAGCTGCTTGATGCAAGAACTGAGAGGCTCTGTTTAAATGCAGCGTGCAGTAGAGGGAGGACTCAGTTTAGCAGGAGAGAGTGAGAACCATGTCTCCCAGTCTTCCACTCTGAATTACCACTTCAGTAACATTATGCTTGAGTTTGGGTTATGGCACTTGGGTTATGCAAACAAAATTTACATTGTCGTTTCATTTAGAGCTGAACGTTTTTTCCGCTGATTTTTTTTTTTTTACGTGTAATGTACTTGTTACATACTTTACTAGCAATGCAATTCTCCTGGTATTAGTATCTTACTATTTCTTTTTTTCTGAAAATATTTTACTTTCACTGTCTACTTTTGAACTCCAATATTTTTGCTATATTATCTGAGTTTAAAATCAAACATCTGTAAACTGTTTACAGATGATGATTATTGTGCACTGGTTCTATCAAATGAATGATTAAAAAAAGAAATATACATTAGGCCTAAGATCAACATGTTTTTCTTTTTGTCATATTCTCTTCTTTTTTTAACAATAGTTTAAGTGTCTCACAGGCAACACTAAAAGTCCAAATCTATATTTGTTCAATATTTAACCAAAATGCATTCAACTTTTTATATACTTCAGTATATAAAAAAAAGTGTGTTGAGTAATGGAATATTTTTCAGTACTTAAAAAAGTAGAAACACAATCTCTTTAAGTGAAAGAAAACACAGAAAAGGTTGTCATGCGCGATATACTGCTGTTCTGTTTCTAGCTACAACCTAAGTGCTTAGGAGCGACATATGTCACAGGCAAGAAGATTCTGGTAACAAAAATTAGATTGTAATTGTTATAACTTTATAAACATAATGAGGGCTGGATCCTACATACAGAGATTAAAGTCTCTGATCATATGGAATAAAATTCATACCTGATGATGCAGAACAGATTAATGTTGCCATTGTAGACAGAGAAGTCCAGGAATACAGCTCTTGTGCCTCTGTCTAGCCATGAGTTTTCTTTCAAATATTGCAGCTGACGTGATGATTCTCCTTTTGTGTTGGATAGATCTTGATAGTATCCTCCCCCTCCATATTTTGTCACCTGGCCCCAGTGACTGCTGCTATTCATGTCACTGCCTGTTGTGTACACAAAACTGAAAAAAAAAAACTATTCTAAATGAACAAAATGCATCATATAAAAAATGCTTCAACTGTGTAAGCGTATGTTAATTCTTAACATACGCTGTTCCTTTCTTGGGGCCAAATGGTGCCTTGTCTTCGTTGTAACCGGTGTACATATCATAGCAGTCTTGGACTATGTATCGAAGATCCTCGTGAACAGAGCAGGACTCATTGCGCACTTTCACTTGTCTGAGTCGAGGGACGCCGAGTAGGAGGTTCTCATAGAAAATATGGCTCCGATTTGATGATAGACTTTTGTTGTTGTACCACACATCCCAGTAGATGCCGTTAAGAAAAGGGCCTTCTGTGTACTAAAATAGTTTGAAATAAATGTGTTATTCTGAAAAATTTAAAATGACATGTCTTCCTTCCAGTCTTGAATAAATGTGCGTTTATAATAACTTGTATACCTTCCAGAAATCATCCATTGTGGCAAGATTTCTAAATGATGTAGGATCTCCGACTGACAATGGTGAGTCCAGGAAAAGCTGAGACATGACTTTGGTGTAATAATACATGTTGACACTCACCATCCCGTATGTCACTGTACAGAAAACCATCCATGTAAAATCCTTAACAAGAGGTAAGAATATTCATACCTACTCAGCTGTGGAATGGAAATTACATTAAACAGTTCAGCTCTGCAGCTTGGAATAACAGACTTCAATTGAATAGTTCTCTGGTAGTTCTTCACCAAGAAACTATTTCCTGATCCACCCCAAACCACAATTAGACCTATGCAACTTCAAACCAAAATCCCTAACCCTTTGCCAAGCAGCCATTGCACTTATTATATTACATAGTATTATAATGTATTAAGTTAGTGTATGTAGTCATTTATAAACATATCATAATACTTTACGTTAATGTATAGATGTATATGTAGATATGTATAGATAGTAGGGTGGATATTTACTTACAGATGCACAGAGTTATGAGGAACGTAATGTATGTAATCATTTCCCTTAAGATGTTCCTCAGATATCTTTCCCTGCTACTGTCACTGTCCTCCATCAAGTCCGTGCCCCACAAAACTAAAAAATACAAACAGTTAACAGTGAAACATGTTTACTATGTCTGAAGTACCATGTTGCACTTACCTCTTATCTTGTGAAGTATTCGTTTCAAGCAGCTTGGGTATCTGTCCTGCTGCTGGCTGTCCCCTGTGGGAGAGGGGTACACAGCCTCACGGGGGAAGCTGCCCAGGCCGCTGCTGCAGCTGCTGCCAGAGGCCGTGGAGGCTGATCTAAGCCCGGGACTCGATGGGGGCCAGTTTGCTTTCATAATCTCATCCTCAGGCTCAAATCCTGGGTTGTCCCTGCTCCATGCTTGTCTGGACGGTGGTGATGGAGTTCCAATCACACCTCCAAGTCCCAGATCCTGGTGTTGGATGTTCTCCATCTCTATCCCCTCGTTTGAGTCCGGCTTGTTTGGAGACCTGACCACTTGTTGTGGGGGTTGTTGTGGTTTAACTCGAGATGAACTCATTTTCCGAAGATTTATAATAAACTCGACTATAAAAAGAACGTTTTAAAACATTCACATTCGTTTTAACATAGTTCTTCGTAAAACTTCTAGGTACCATTCGGGAACTGGTAAAATCCTGTCTTCTTAAATGCACTGCATCAAACATCCAGCAGCCCGCAAAGCAAAGCATCCAGGGTTCAGAGAAAGTGGTGTTGATCGCTTTGGAAGAATGTCGAATAAGAGCAAACTAAACAAAGTCCACCGAATACACCAGTCACTAGTTTACACGCTCAACGAAAATTGTTGAAACTTTTCTCTATCGCAGTACGAGAAAGTTAGTCCTCCAGCTTTAAGACAGCCATCTTGTTCTTCTACTGTTCCCCAAAAACGCAGACTTTTGAAGAGCTCGGGTTACATTAGAATTCATGGCGTTGTGGTGAGACTGGAAACATCTAACGAGCTATGGAAACTACTCATTGTATTCTGTCTTCAGTGATCTTGGGGAAAATAATAATGAAACGCAAATGTATCTAGGTTTGACTATAAAATATTTTTCTACATTGAGCTCAATTATTTTTTTGTTTTATTTAAATGCAACTTAATACGTTTTCTTCCTGATAAAATAACTCAGAAATATGTTACGACTGCTCTGTCACGCAAACTCGTTGCTATGACTACCAATGGCAACAGCTATAGGTTGCGTAATCCGTGCATTTCGTTAGTGGACATACATCTATTCTTCCACTTTATTGGAGTTTTTGGAAGAAATGGGTTATTCAATGCACTTCTGTGTCCAAGGCTACATTAAAAACTATATTTATATTTTTTTCCACATAGATTATTTCTGTACTAAAAGGAGTCTGTGTTGTGAGAGGACTTGCAGCTCCTCAAACTTGACAGGTTCCCTTCCTGGTTGCTTACCTTGATAACCTTTTCCTTTGGCTAATTTTCATCCTACAACGAGAATGTGCCACATTTTGGTCATTGTATGCAAGTGATTACTCACTTTTAATATGACATGTAACTTTAGATTACTTATTTGAAACGTTAGCTGGAGGCGCAAGTGTTTTGGGCATAGACTAAATTAGGGTTTGAGCCAGGGTTGAACCATAGACTGTATGGTTGAACGCTTTAGGGATGGAGAAATAAATATATCACACAGCATTTATCGTTATGGGCGGGCTTTGTGTGACGCAGAACTTGGACACGCTGCGGATTGGTCAGTGCGCCTGTACGGGGTTCCTGTGCAGCGGTAGAAGGGGTACAACAATAACCCGGAGGACCTATAAGCGCACTTTAGAAGTGTAGTGTGTGGGAAATACCACCTATCTTACCTGGCTTGTATTGAAATTCAGGGAAAACCACCCAATACCAGTTATTTATTATTAACTCATCTGTCTACATAGATAGGTCATTCGCAAGGTAAGTTAGCCTTACAAAAGCAAGCTAGCTACTGCTAAATAAAGGCATTGGTTCTGACTACAAGCTAAGGCTAACTATTATAGCTTTTTTGCTAATGTTAGCTGCATTGTCTGTCCGAAACCACGGCTATTCTACAATCTGTCCCCAATTAGTCACCGCTTGATGTCAACTTCATCTTGTAGTTTTCCTCGCAAGTAAATGTGTTGGTTTAATGGTCTCAACTAAAACCTCACATTGGCTATATGTTCTTTGTTGTTTTACCATCATAATTTATGTCACATACTCGGTAACTGTTGTATGTTTAGGATAATTAGGCTGTGACACTCATATTAAACAAATCATTTAAAACACACGCACTCTGCGCATTTGCCAGACCGTGTATTTTATGTAACATTAGCTTATTTCTACTGTGACGGGATATGCCGCAGTTCACGCCACTGTGTTTACAACAGACAATTGGATCGATTGTTAATAATTTGGCATATGCCTATCAAATGAGTTATTTCGGTTATGATTTAAAACATTGTTCTTTGGTGCATTCGTCAACACCAAGTAATAAGTTATGAAGTATTTCAAATAAATGACAACCGGCTTTAGAAACAAACGACGCCACAAATCAAGCTAACGCTAACGTAGCTCTCCAATAGTGTTTGAGATAGGCTGTGCTTTCTTGAGTTCCGAGAAAGGAGGCCACACTGGTAAAAGAGCTTATCAAAATCTCGCATAATAATTTCTATATAGACTTTAAGTTAGTTTAATATCGCTGTTACCGTCGATGTGTTTAGATCATGGATTTGTATGGTATAGATGTACATGTAATACAATGTATCATCTCAAATCACCATTGCAAACATTGCTGATGATTTCCAAATGTGGCATTACAGGCCTACTATACACAGCAGTGATTTGACCAACATTTAGGCATTATTTCAATTTTTCTTTAACCTCGATGTTTTGTTTTTGTTTTGCCTTTAACCCTTTTGTTTTGAAGGAAAAAAATGAAGATTTGGTAATAAATTAGTAATCTATTGATAATTACCTTTTTGATAAATTAATACACAAAACACACGTTATTTAACAGAATGTGAATTGTAGGAGCAGTATGTCTCATTCAGTGTTCTGAAGGCACAACATGTAAAGACCACAGTGTGAGACAAACACCACAATTCGTTCTGTTTGACAAATGTGCTTCTTTGTCAAACCATTCAAAAGGTCCATTTTGTAATTTATAAATTTCATGAGCATGCACATTTTCCCATCAACCAAAAAACATGAAAAAGGACAGATTCCACTAACACAATTCAAGATTTAGTTAATGTTGTAATATACTTTATTTTATACTTTACAGCACTTAATATTGTTTCCCAAAGAAATGGTGATGGAGAAGCCAAGTCCCCTGCTTGTAGGGCGGGAGTTTGTGAGGCAGTATTACACACTGTTAAACAAGGCACCCGATTTCCTGCACAGGTGAGTTACATAATACATTTCAATACAGGAAAACATAATAATTTGCCCACTCTGTATCTTGTTGTAGGTTTTATGGACGCAATTCTTCCTATGTTCATGGAGGACTGGATCCAAGTGGAAAACTGGCCGAAGCAGTGTATGGACAAGCTGTGAGTTTTATCAATCAATCAAATTTTTATTTGAAATGTTATCAGTCATAGAGCAGCAATCTCCAAACTTTTTAGAGAAGCAGACTGGATTAATGTCAGGGAATAGCACAGACCAGCACCCAACAAATGCATTCATTCATTTTGTCTAATGGTGCGTTCACATCGCCAACGCTGACGCCTCGCACACCAAATGCACATTCTCTAATCTTCAGACGCAGGGGTCTTCAGACCAGAAGTCCTGGGCTGCGGTGGCGCCCGCCGGAAGTGGCGGGAGTAGCGGGCAGACTTTGATGCTAACGGAGTTAAGCTAGTGGCTTTTTGTGTAAAGTTCTTCTCCTATAATGCAGCTCTGTAGTGCCTCTGTGTCCAGAGACCTTCCACAGACTTTATATAGCAGCAGTATGTGTTCACGGAGGTGCGCCATACGTTTATTTTATTATTAAATGGTACTTCCGCATCGACAAACACGCTCGAAGCAGTTGCATAAAGTCACGGGAGCATGAAAATGCATATGTTCACAAGCACAGAGTCCCCCATTGTCAACCCTGGTTTTAGTCCTGGTGTAGCTCCTGTTTTGGCTGTTTACAGTATGTTCACTCTGGTCGCTCAGACCAGTAATGTCCCTGTGACCACTCTGCGGCTTTCTGATTGGTTGCTGCACGAGCGTCCCGAGGAAACGCTCAGCAATATTTATCTCCTGCTTGCGTCGATTTTCCGCTCCTGCGCCTCTGCCGCGTCTTCACCGCGCAGTCCGTGCGTGCATTCCGCAAAATCAAGGGTTGTTTTGACTGATAATTAGACCAGTAATCATTTATTCTCTCCTTGGCGGCCTGATTCAAATGTCCCACAGCCTGGTCCCCATCGCCGGGTGTTTGGGACCACTGCAATAGAGGACTTCTATAATCAATACATTTATAATAAAAATACAAAGTAGCTCAGTTGGTAGAGCATTAGCCTTTGGGCCGGAAGGTCGTGGGTTCGAGCCCATCACCGGACCTACTCCAACTGCTCCCACTAATGTCTGCTGTCGTTGTGTCCTTGGGCAAGACACTTAACCCCACTTTGCCTGAAGCTCCCGCTGAAACATCAAGGCTGTGGCACCACAGGTCCCTGTGACCACTCACACATCTTCCACACCATCTCACACATCTTCCTGTGGACATACCACCTGCAGAAGATCAGCAATGTTATTTTTCCCCTTAATCACATCTGTGCACTGCTGCAGATGCCTCCTCACTTTGTCTCAGGCAACAGAGAGTTTGGGCAGAGATATTATCCACAGAACCTGTTTTTTTTGTTCTGTTTTTTTTTACCTTTGCACATTTGTAATTAGTAATGTGTTAAATCATGCATCTAATGAGAATATTTAAAATTAATTTTTACCCACCACCACCGTCATTCGGTGTCAACCGATGTGGTTTGTGACATGATTTTAGAAATCACTAAATTGACATCATTTATTATTTTTACCATGTAGGAAATCCACAAGAAGGTGATGTCACTACAGTTCAGTGAATGCCACACGAAGATCAGGCATGTCGATGCTCATGCCACACTGAGTGATGGGGTTGTGGTGCAAGTCCTTGGGGAGCTATCCAACAACGGTCAGCCAATGAGAAAGTTCATGCAGACATTTGTACTGGCTCCAGAGGTGAGTGACATATAGTTAATATAAAATATCTACAGTAATTTATGTGGGGGATGTTTGTTTTTCCGCTTATTGTTTTAGGGTAACTTTTGAATTATTGGTAATTCCGTGTATTGTAATCAAAGACCAGTTCTACAGCATGTCTATGTTACAACTGTTTTTCCTCTTTAAGGGTTCAGTGGCAAATAAGTTCTATGTTCACAATGACATATTTCGGTATGAGGATGAGGTGTTTGGAGACTCTGAGGCTGAGCTTGAGGAAGGTATGCAACTTATATTGTTTTCCCTATACAAAAATATAAAATGAGTTTGGTGATCTCATTATTTTTCAAATGCATTCTTTAGAGTCTGAGGAAGAAGTTGAAGAGGAACCAGAGGAGAGAGCTCCATCTCCTGAGCCTCTACAGGAAAGCCCAAACAGCAGCACCTATTACGAGCCTCATCCTGTCACGTAAGTAGTCCCCAATTTTCTTCCACATGTATTCCATGTGATAATAAACAATACTGTGTTGAATGTAGAACTTAGCACGGCTAACCACAGAAGTCTTTCATGTCGTCATCTATAAAGTAACTAGTCAACATAAAATGTTTGGTTTTAAAAGTGTTGGTACCAAGGAGTAAAATTACTCATTACTTATCTTAAAATCCCGATCATCCAATGGGACCAGCAGTCAGGCCATAAGAACATTTACCAGTGATGTTGGCGTTTGTATGCGTTTTCCATGCAAAAGCCAAGTAACTTTGTGTGAGAATTGTAATCGTTTTAAACTATCTGTAATATATAATTATTTACACTTCTGCATCTCCAGTAATGGTGTAGAGGAGCCCATGGATGAGCCAACAGCAGAACCTGAGCCAGAGCCTGAACCAGAGCCCAAACCAGAAACAACAAAAGCTGAAGCAGATGAAAAAGCTTTGGATGAGCTGGAGGAGAAGGCCCCTTCACCAGCTCCTGTGGAATCACCCCCCCACACACAAGAGCCACCCAAAGTAACACTTCTATCCATGTATATAGGTTTTATATCACATATGTTTGCAAGCTCTAAAAACCTGAATTCTTTTTTTAAGGCATTTTCTTGGGCTTCAGTCACCAGTAAAAACTTGCCTCCAACTGGATCAGTTGCCTCCCCTGGAATCCCCCCACATGTTGTCAAAGCTCCTAGCTCACAGGTAGTTAAATTTCAGCTATATGAAAATTAATTGTTCATGCATAATGTTACTTTGCCCCAGGGTTTAATGAAGAATTCTAACCTTAGTTTTACAATTGCACAACAAACGTGGGCTACGTTCACTCGCATGGATAAAAGATAACAAAGTTTACTTTTTAAACTCACTATTCTTTTGGATGAAAAAACAGTTGTTATGGGGCATATCCTGACTAGTAAAAAACATACAGTGAATTTATTCTTCGTAATTATTCCACTTTCTGAAAAGACTGGCAGAAAATATATACATGTTTCTATTTGTACTAGTATGATTGTCAATATTCATACAATACTATATCAAACAACTCCTGTGTCATTTCATATGGCAATGTTTTCATCCCTACCCCATAAACCTCTTTTATAAGGGGAAAGGTTTGAGGTACAAAATATTTGAGATTGAGCCCAATTTTTTTTGTTTAATTATTATTATCTATTCCCAAATAAAATGTGTTTTCGTTTTTTACAATAACATTCTGACTCTAATTCCCTAGCCACGGCTAGAAGCCAAACAAGAGAGCCAATCTATCCCTCTTCGACCAAGAGACCAGCGCACACGGGACAGACCAACCTTTACTTCTCGCGGCCCCAGACCAGGTAATGTAACTATCTCATTGTGATGCATTTTACATGCTCCTTGATCATATTGTTTATATCTGAATCTGTCTTGTCAATTTTAGATGGAGTTGCTTCTTCTGACTCCCAACCAGGAAAAAACCATTTAAGTTTTGTCAACAAAGGTAGTTTCTGAGCAATGATTTCTTTTGTTTTAATTTTAACTTTGCTAAATATGAAGATAATGTTGGTTTTATTTTGTGCAGGTGGTCGAGGGGAGGAATCTGGTGATATGGACACAAGACGAATGGTGCGGTACCCAGACAGCCACCAGCTTTTTGTTGGTAATCTACCACATGACATCGATGAAAGTGAACTGAAGGATTTTTTCTTGAGTAAGTTATTTGATCATAGTGGTCTTATTTTTTTTAGCTCAAGTCTACTCAATACCATAATTTACATAAATTAAAGCTGGAGTACCTACAAATCCAAGTAAAAAATGCTGTCTTATCACAAAACATTTTAGACACAGTTGGACGCTTCTGGGCTGGTTGGTTTAGTAAGGGGGTCCTCGTTTTCTATCTCGAAAAAAGAAAAGAAAACTAGCAATAGAACCAAACTGTTTTTGAAGATTGTAACTTAAGGTTATTTACTGCTTTTAATTTATAGTGTCAAATACAATGTATTGTATTTGACACTATAAATCTATGAGATATAGTTTTAACAAGTCAAGTTGGTAGAAGTTAATATTTGCATATGTATTTCTCCTTTTACAGCATATGGAAATGTTGTGGAACTGCGCATCAACACCAAGGGTGTGGGTGGAAAGTTGCCCAACTTCGGATTTGTCGTTTTTGATGACTCTGAGCCAGTGCAAAGAATCCTTGGGGCCAAGGTAGAAGGGGCATGTATTGATATTCCATTACCCATTTCATTCATCTGGTGGTGGAGTTTTTAACCCAGAAATCGATGAGGAAAAAAAATTATCTATCAATTGGCATAATGGCTTTTGGTATAAACATTGTGCCTACTATCATCTTGCCTGCTCGTTTCCCTCCTCCTTTCCATTCATCTCTCACTGTTGATGTCTTTTGAATACATTTTATGAAGGAGGTGATTATCATGTAATCATGATAATCACTATAGTGTCCATGATTAGCGCACAATTGGCACTAATCACCTTTTTTACCTCCCCTTTCTCACAAAAGCTTTCTTTTGCCTAGTCTTCCATGTCTTTTTACTCTAAATAACTTTCCATCTGCTTCTCCTGCAGCCCATAATGTTTCGAGATGAGGTGCGTCTGAATGTGGAGGAGAAGAAGACCAGGGCAGTGCGGGAGCGGGAGACCCGTGGAGTGGATGAGCGGAGAGACATGAGGCGCACCTCCGGAGCTTCTCGCGGAGTGGCTGGAAGTGGGATGGTGCGAGAGCGAGACGGCAGGGGACCGGCTCCACGAGGTGGCCTGGCCCCCAAACCGGGGATGGGATCTGGCAGAGGCTCCGGGGGGCAGGGCGATGGCCGTTTTACCACCCAGCGCCGTTAGGAAGAGCTGTACCTGCAATGTGGAAGTGGTACCGCCTTCTTCATTCTCAATCGTTCTCAATAACGAAAAGAAATCGTCATGTACAAACGTATATATTTGTTTGCTTTTTTTACTTTTTTGTTTCCTCCTTGCTTTGGAATGTGACACAACCCGTCAACGATTGTTTGTCAAGTAGACAAAACAAATCAAGCAAATGCATATTTTGCTTAGTTGTGAGATGAGCATCCTCTTCAGGTATCTCAAGAATTTCACAAACTTTTAATTTGATAATTTGTAAACAAGGAAAATCAACCAGGTGTAGTCTGCTACATTAGAAGGGACTGATAAAACTTGTATCTCTGATAATTCAGCCCATCATTTGGATATGAGATTATATGCCTATATCTAACTTGGGAGCTGCTTCACAAAATCCCACTATTGCACATTTTCTATGGTAGTTTTCTGGCCTCAGTCAGAAGTGAGATGCAAAAATTGTGCAGCTCCAAAGAAAAAATGTTCCTAAAGTTTTCCTTTTGAGACAACTGCTTGAAATTGCATAAGGCACTCATCAATATGCACTAATGGGTACTTTTTGTCGTATTACATTGACGTCCGTGTTTGGAACGCAGCTGAAGGGACTCTTTGGTCTCTAAATACAACTTACTGGGGCAGGCCTCATTCACAGCCTGTCTGCTGTGACCAATGTACTTTTCACACTTTGACCCAAAAGTACACTCAATTTCTGCTGGATGGACAAGATCAAAAACAAATTTACATTATATTTTTTCCTCATTTATACTTGAATGAAAAGTCCCGATTCTGGACTTTTACCGAATGTTTTGGGAATGGACTGTATAAATGAACGTCAGAAAGCAGCGGTGGCTTACTTTGTTCCTGATCGGCTGGACAGCAATCGGACGGACGAATGGACAACAGCAGCTGCCTCTTCCCTTGCTCCATTCCTCCAAAACTCTTCAGTGCAGAGTAAAAAAAATACATGTACAGTAAAAAATCATAGTTTACGCCTTTGTTTCTTTTGTAAATTTTCCATTTCGTCGACTTGATAAAAGCATGATGGTGCCTTCTCTTTCACCGTTTCGAGTCTTGCTACAGCTCCAGGCTCGCTTTCTCCTGAGATAGAGCTGCTTATTTTGGACTTACTGGGAGCAGACGGGGGAGAAAAAAATCCTCGGTTTTCATATGAAGTTTTTTTTTCTGTTCAGGTGCATATTTCATGTTTCATACTGTTTTACTACCTAAGATAATCTGCTGTGATTTTTGTACGATTTGTTTTGTACGGTGTCTGTTCTGGGTTTTGTAGAGACTATAGGTGCCTCGCGTTCGGTTTTGTTAAACGGTTACGAAGATTTAGAACAACTCAGAAAAAAAGGGTACATTAAAGACTACAAACGTTCAAATGCTTGGTCCTTGGTTTGATACTCAGCCATGCTCTGCTAAAATTGAGTCAAAAATGCTTTACTCATTGCAGAACTTAAAGCAATCCCAGGATGTAAAATGCCCATGTTTTTGAGACATGGCCCTATCCCCACCATGGAAGGCACATTTTGTATTTTCATATGCTGTTGATAATTTTTTTTTTTTTTTTTGCTTTCCCCACTATTTAGTGTAAACTGTTTGCCAAAGTACAAGTCCACTGACTTTTACCACTTGGTTGGGGAGGGAAGACCTCAATCTCGGCTGGAAAGAAAAGAAATAACGTTGTCTTGCACTGAAATGGGTTGTGGATGTAGCATTTTTAATTTCTGGACAAATACATTTTCATGAGGTCTTCCTTGTCTTGTGGTATTGCACTATTGCCAATATAACTGGGACAATCTTGTCTGTTTAAGCCTTTCTGAAAAAGCATTATGTTTTGGTCTTGGCATATAGAATAATGTGCGCTCTATCAGTGTTTCAGTTGTATGCAGTTGTTGATATGAAGATTTTTTTTTTTTTTTACTTTGGAATGAGTGCTTGGATTTCAAATGTACTACTGGTTAATAAGGATTGTTGCCTCAAATGATTAAAAGCCTTTGCTCCTTGGATCCTGAAAGGAACACGCCCTTAACCCTATTTGTATTTTTCGTGAGCACGGTGAAAAAGGTTTGAAGAGGAGCCATCATGCTTTAGCACTACTAGGCTTTTCATTGTACTGGTGGTTTCAAAACAAAAAAAGATGAGCATATACTATAGTTTATTTTTTCATGAGATAAATATGTGATCAACAAACATCTTTCTTTAAAAAAAAAAAAAAAAAACTCAAGGTAAAAAGTGTAGTAAACACGATCGTCATTGTGAGTCATTCCAGTTCACTATAATAACACAAAGTACCTTGAAAGCGAAGCGGGTTCATAAACAGATGGCAGCCATTTTAATGAACTGTGTTTACCCTTTACTTGTTGCTTGTGCAAAAAACCTGCAGGTGGAGAGATTTTTGTTGAGTTTTGTTTTTTGATTTATTTTTCCATTTTTTTATGTGTTGGATTAACATACAATAAACTACTGATATCACCACAACTTCACACCGCTTGTCATGTTTGCAGGCTGCGCTACTTAAGCTGCATGAGAGGAGGCCAGCGGCATGTGGAAATACTGGTGAAACTGAATTACAATTTTGTTCAAAAGTTCATGTAATTCAGCATACAATGTGAAGCATAATGATATAGACGCCACACCCAAAGTGATGAAGCTATTTTTTTTTTTTTTAGCATTTTGATTATGGAGTCATTCTGATAGGAGTTAGTCACATATTAGTTTCACATTGTAAGTTGAATTAGAGAAGTAAATGAACTTTTGAACAATATTCAAGTTTCACCTTTTATTAATTGGTTTTGTTCATGTTCTTGAATTGTATTTCAGTTGGAGGACAGATGCTAATATCTATGGGACTGAAGGAATTTATGAAAGAAATATTGAAAAAGCAAATGTCCTTAAGATTACCCATTATTTGATGGCTTAGAGTCAGACCAACCAATAGGTCGTTTTTGAGAAAAAAAACAAAGATGTAGATTGGCCAAGGAGTAAGTCAAAAATGTTTATTTAATTTATTGTTTATAGGTTCAAAGACCAATGCTCTACCAACTGTGCCACTGTCGCCTCAGAACGTTTATTTCACTGTAATACTCTAATCTACCCAATAAAATAATTAACGTACACAAAAGAGGTGGGATCATGAAGCAAACGTTTATAAACTTAAGACTAAAGGTCTGACTTGAACACATCCCTTAGTTACCAGGAAGGACTTTTCAGCTGCCCTCCAGAATTTTAGACTATAAGCTCTTGGGAATGCTGTGAAGTCACATGAGCGCAACCTATTATCATTTATATTGCATCCACCGATATGACTTAATGTTATGCAACTCAAGTGTCCAAAAAGTCTGCGTTTGTTGTACTTAATGTTGTGCCTTGAAAAACACAACTTCTCATTAATAAGGCATATGACGACAGTAAGTTACAGGTATTTATTTGCTCAGGAAAAATCACATGCAAAAAACTAGCTGCCGCCTTCGTAGTATACTTTCTAGTCTTCTGCAGATGATGTTTGACTTGATCCTGAAGAGGGATCCGGACGTTTTCTGGTTGGACTTTTAGCAGGACCTCTGCGGCTGTAAAAATAATGTCTGCGATAGACGACTATTGGAGGTCGCAGATGAGAAATGGCTTTAGGATGCTGCTTCTTGTTGCAGGGCTGTTTCCATGGTAACGTGACTGCAGCTTTAGTTGTGGTTGTTGTGTAGATCAAGTCCATATCCCCAATGTGGCAAGGACTCCTTTGCTCTGGTCTCTTTGCAGATAGGACGTCTCTCTTGGCAACTTGGGATATGGCTGGAAAATCCAAAGAAACGTACTTGTCATACATTTTTTATCAAATGTATGTCAAGTAACCTGTACTTGTACTCACCACCTCCAATAGCATTCTTTAAGTTCCCACAAACTGGAAAAGCTCCTACACAAAAAGATGAAAATGGTTTTGGAGCTTGCTCATCACCCCATAGTCATCTTGTAGGTGACAATTTAAAATAAGAAGCTATTGCCGACAATTTCACAATGTTTCGACCTTTAAATTCTTCATCAGATCATTATTTTCTCTTTTTTTCTTTCTTTTAGCCACAATATACAAAATGGTTGCCAGTCAGCCAAATGTGAGGGAAACTCAGAAAATTAGAATAAAATTTAATTTACAACTGTAATTCTTACTGTTCAACTTACTTACTGTTCAACTTACACTATGACATACACACACATGGAAAAATATCATACTTTTGTTTATAATAATGATAATTTGTCTCACAGCTTGTGAAAACCATATTAAAAACTCCATTTAAAGCATTTTTTACACTTTGGATAAGCCATTAATCATCGAATTGATAATAAACAGCTTTGCGTCTATCAGTCTACACGTATATCATATATTGGTTTCACAATGACTTACAGAAATAAATTAACTCACATATGACGTTCTAATTTTCAGAGTTTCACCTGAAACTCTGACCTTACTGGGTGACCACACTTGTTTGGAGGTGAAGGAGCACCTGGAATAGCAGGTGCTCAAAGAAAGGGGGAAAAAAACAGAGAAAAGAATCCTATCTTGAGAACCTTCTGAAAGCTATAATGGCTGAAACGTCATGTAATAAACATAGAGTGGACTATGTTTTGAGTGTGCAATGACTGATGTTCTTCAAATGATATTGAGGACTTACCTGCAGAGGTGACATGCAGAAGAAGCAGAGCAGAAGTGATTGTTTCCATGTCTCATTTCAAATAGAATAGAGTTTGATCAGCAGTCTGCTCTTTTAAAACCTGAGAGTGGTTGTTTCGGTGACTCATATTGTTAAAACAATAATTATCAAAAAGTGGCATGTGAACATGTGTAGGTGGGACAACAATAAACATGGATGACCCCGTGGCATGTTTTTAGCCAACACCCAGAACTATAAATAATATATCCATCAGGCTATATGTTGTTTGGAATGTCACTCACAAACACAGCAACAGAACAAACATGGCTTTGGTGTTGACAGTTTCACATTGAATGGGGGAACACACTAATAGTAACAACAATACCATAATTTAAAAAAAGCACAGTGAAAGTGCATGGTGATCAGATAACTGTTCAGTCAATTGAATCTAGGAAAAATTCAGACAATGAAGTAAACTTTGTTTGATCTTAGGGACAGTTCATATAATTCAAAGACAAATCCAGTTAATTTGCAAAAACAGAAATATTTATTGAAACTTTCTCAAAAATGTGTATTCCTTTATTCACAATCTTCAACAGAACTTGTCATTGGCAGTTTATTTGAAATAATTTGCTCAAGAAGGAGTAAAAGTTTATAAAAAATATATCTGTTTTTCAAAAAAAACAAAACAACAGTCATTTACAGGCTTGTAATATTAACTGGTTTGAAGGAGATCTGTGATGATGGGATTCAAGAGAAGTCAGAACTAGAGATTGGTGGGAGAAGTCAGTGGTCATTAAGCTGACTAAAACAGTCTTTTTCAATGTTTTTTTTCGTCAATGTAATTTATTTACTCAAATTATTCAACAATAATAATGGCTCGGAAGGAATAAAACTGTAACTTGCACTTAAATTAAATTAATTGACAAACAAATGTACTGCAGTCCTTAGTATTTAACTGGCTGCACATTTGATCAAATTGTAAAAAGCATGTGCATGATAAGAACCAAGACAAAAATGGAATGAAAATGTATTATCAAAATGTGATCATTCAGTGTTGCCGGCTGTCGTTGTGACCTTGGGCAAGACACATAACTCCACATTGCCTGAAGCCCCCACTGAAACAGCAAGGCTGTGTCACTGCTGACGGAGAAGCCATCTTCCTGTGGACTCACCCCCTGCAGAGGATCAGTGAGGGACTGGTGCTATGAGCGTTGGGTGGCAGCTCTCATTGTCACTACCCCGACCCAGAAATGGAAGGGGTAGAAAATTAATGAATGAATCATTCAGTGTTGATTAATATTCAGAAGAGTCTGAGTACAGTTGGCTACAGTTACTATACACAGATCTAAGGATTATATTGAAAAAACAACACTGTTTGGGTTTACTCTAAAAAAATATATATATATTTATATGGCACAAATTATACACATATCTAAGATGTATGAAACACCATGTCGCCATCCCATGCCCAATGTATAAGAAAAGGGCTCTCTGCCTTCTAACCCTAAATAACCATAAATGCAAGTTCACAGTGTCATCCAGCCAACTTCAGCTCTGCTGACACACGTTATACCCCAGTGTGAAGCTCAGGTTCTCATTTGCATTTGATATATGACCGTGTTTGTTTTTGATTGTATGGTGCTAATGTCGCTGGTGATTAAACATGTGTCATTCCGCATTTGTCCATCTCCGTCAAAAGTGAACCTAGACATGTATAGCTCAGAACAACCTGAATCCAGTCAATCTGTGTTGACTCGATCCTGGATAATTTTGGAAGTGGCCCTTTTACCAAAACGTTTTGACACCCCAATATAGAGGATCAAATCCAGTTTCGTAAATCTTTCATAATATCTTTTAGCAATTGGTTTGTTGGTTAAATGTTGTTTATGATCTTAAATTAACCAAGTTATCTAAAACAGACCAGGAGTTACTTCTTCGTCCTATGCTAAAATTGGGATCTTTTGGCACAAATATGTAGAACCTCTTTTACCATTTATAACTTTAAAACAAAAGTATTGTCCATAAAATAGAATTGACTATTTCTCTGGTGGAAAATGACATTTTTTACCGTGTTTGAAGCCAGTAGTTTTCAAATTTGAAAAAACAATAAAAACATAAACGAATTCAACTCCATCTGGTGGTGTCATAGGGAGTTTTGTGACCTTCATCCTTGTCTCACTTTACATTTTCTAGTTACGATATGATTTCACGTTATAAAACATGAATTGCTATTATCATTAAAATTCTTAATGGCCAAAATGATTGCGTTATATTTTTTCTTTAAATCAGTGGACCACAATAAGCCACGTATCGCCACGTCTGAGCGCATGCGCAGTGCAAGATCCTCCATGAGTTCCGGGGTAGCGGCAGTGTACACAGTAGAAAACAGAACTGTGCGCCCCAGTTCTGTGTATTCACAATCACCTCGCTCACGACAGCGCTGGGGATAAGTGCCTCGAGATATAAACAAGATACGCGGAGTAAGGGACTCTCTGGACGTGTGGAAAGATGAATTTCTTCAGAGGAGTGATGGGTGGGCAGACAGCGGGGCCGCAGCCTTCTGGAGCCGAAACGGTAAAAGGCAGCTCGGCTAGCTCTGTTTTTCACCACTGAATGAGCATTATGACACAGTCTACACATCACTGTACATAACAATCAACTTGGCCTATATTTACCCACATAACCGCTGTAATACACGTGTTGAGACCGCATTCATTTGCTCTGTTATAAAGGTACATGTTAGCATTAGCTTTAGCTCCAGAAAAACCCAATTAGCTAACCCAGCGATCTGTCAGTCTGCTGTAAGGCTGGCTGTCATTGTGAAATAACTATGTGTGAATGCATGCAACATTATTCTGCAAAACAGGCACATATGCTCCCATTCATTGAGTTGTTACAACGTATGACTGTGTATCTACCAACCCATCATCTTGTTTTAGAGATCTTTTTGAATGAGTTTACTTTTTGTGTTTAAGATTCAGAAATTGTGTGACCGAGTGGCCTCCTCCACACTGCTAGAGGACCGCAGAGATGCTGTCAGAGCTCTGAAGTCCCTGTCTAAGGTAATTTTTACTATAATGCACAAGTGAGCTCCAAAGGTTTTCAATCTCTCTTGCATTGGCTGACTTGTGCTCTTTGCCTTAAGTTGTATTCGTGTTATTGATGTAAAGTTCATCAGCAAAAGTCAGTCTTGTTGTTTGTGTACTTTGTAGAAATACCGTATGGAAGTGGGGACGCAGGCAATGGACCATTTGATCAACATTCTACAAACTGACAGGTCTCTGTATATCACTGTAGTAATACATATTGATAATTTATAACAAACTTTTTCACTGTGCCAATTGCTTACATACTCAAAATTTGAAATCTAATAGGTCGGACTCTGAAATTGTTGGCTATGCTTTGGACACTTTGTACAACTTAATCTGTAATGACGAAGAGGAAGAGCAAGGTAAATATGCCTAGAAAGTATCATGTGTATTAAAAAAAAGATTGAATTTCAAACTACTATTTCAATTGCATGCCCATTCAGACATCAGTAATTATTCATTCTGAATAGAGGCGAGTGCTTTAATTCAAAGATTCTCCTTCTCTTTCTTTCTTTTCCATGTTAAACGCAACAGATGAATCAGAAGGTAATGATCTAAGATTGTGCATGATGCTACTATCACAAGTTTACTAATGGGTCTCTCTCTTTTAAATAATCAGTGTCACTGTCCATTAAAAGAATGTGCAATAGAAATATTATTACATGAAAGTTTAGCTTGTAGTTTATGCTGTGAACTTCTTCCCATACATTTGCAGACGCAGTAACCCCTAAGCCTAAGCAAAAGACTGTACCCATGCCTGGTTAGTATGGGCTGTGGGAACTGTGTGTCACTTCTAATTCCTGTTACCATAACTGCTGCAGGGCTAACGTCACTAACTTGGTTTTACAATTTGATCAAACTTTCTCTACCATTTCTAACATTTTTCTGTACACAAAGTAATATGTTATGTTACATTGTATAACCTTGGTGTTTACTGGTTTCAAAAGAAATGTGTCTAAAAACTAAGCAAAGCTATTTCATATTTTTCTTCACCCTATGGAGTCAAATGTTAGTATGTTTTCAGATCTGCTGTTCCTCTGCTTTGAAGTAATGCTCATAAATCATCAATCTTTCTGTATAATTATTACAGCATTTACAAAAGCACAATTGCACTCCTTTCTACAGGATGACTCCAATAACTGTATTATGTGCTTGTTTTGAATGTTGGAGTTAACCAAACTGCTATTCACAGATGAAAATGCGCAGAAGCAGGCTGATGACTTAGGCGCTCAGTTTACGGAGAAATTCATTGAGGATCCTGAGCATCTTGCTCTGCTCCTCTCTTTATTAGAGGTATGTATCTGAAAAAAATTCCTTTGTGTTGATGATTACATTCACAGCCACTGTATTACAATTTATAGGAGTTTGACTTCCATGTTCGCTGGCCAGGAGTCAAGCTTTTAACTGCTTTACTAAAGAACCAGGGTCCTCAGGTGCAGGGTGTCATCCTTGTTAGTCCCATGGGTGAGATTGCATCACAGTATTACTCCTGCATGTTATCTACTGTATCTGTATTTACATTGTGTGTTTCTCAGGCGTCTCCAGACTTATGGATTTACTCGCCGACTCTCGAGAAATCATTAGAAATGATGTGAGCTTTCGATGTATTTCCTTATGAAGACATTTGATATGGTGCAATGTTATTTATTTTTAAAAATGTGTTTACAAAAGGGCCTGCTGCTTCTTCAACAACTGACTAAAAGTAATGCTGCCATACAGAAAATTGTAGCTTTTGAAAATGCCTTTGAGCGCCTTTTAGACATCATCACGGACGAGGGGAGCAGTGATGGAGGTACTCATTTACACTTCAGCAATTCTTCAAGATGACCTTATACACATATTTTTCTTTATCCTGTTTCAAGGAATTGTAGTTGAGGACTGCCTTCTGCTGCTGTTGAACCTGCTCAAAAATAATAGCTCCAATCAGAACTTTTTTAAGGAGGGCTCATATATCCAGAGAATGAGGCCCTGGTTTGAGGTCGGCGACGATAATGCTGGTTGGTCTGCGCAGAAAGTCACTAATCTACACCTTATGCTTCAAGTAATGAATATTCACATTCAGCCCACACATTTTTTGCATTTTTCTTATCTGAGGTATTTGTATCCTGTGATGTCACATGTTTTTATCTGTAGCTTGTACGGGTTTTGGTATCTCCAGTGAACTCTCCCGGAGCCACAGCAAGTTGCCAGAAAGCTATGTTCACATGCGGCCTGCTGCAACAGCTATGCACTATCCTCATGGCCACTGGGGTCCCTGCCGACATCCTTACAGAGGTAAATACCCTGCATTGAACTTATCAACCAAAGCATTCTCTACATGTTTAGTATCTTTCAGACCATTAACACTGTGTCAGAAGTTATCAGAGGATCCCAAGTCAACCAGGACTACTTTGCTTCTGTCAATGCGCCTTCAAATCCACCAAGGTTAATCAAATACTCAGTCATACTCTGGAGTGACTAATATATAAAATATGTTGGATTAATTGTAAATTAATCATATATTTTTATTTGTCTATAGACCAGCCATTGTAGTGCTACTCATGTCTATGGTAAATGAGCGACAACCGTTTGTGCTTCGCTGCGCTGTGCTCTACTGTTTCCAGTGTTTCTTGTACAAAAACCAAAAAGGCCAGGGAGAAATTGTATCAACACTCCTTCCATCCACTATTGACGGTAAAATAGATGCATTTGTCTACATCTAAACCTCCCAATTGCACGTAGCAAAATTGTTTAGAAACATTGATTCCATTGTGTGTGGTACAGCCATCTAGCAGGAGCTGTTCTCTCTCCACAGCTAACTCCATTTCAGCCGGGCAGCTGTTGTGCGGCGGTCTGTTCTCGGCCGACTCCCTGTCCAACTGGTGTGCGGCTGTGGCCCTGGCCCACGCGCTGCAAGAGAACCTCACACAGAAGGAGCAGCTGTTGAGGGTCCAGCTCGCCACCAGCCTGGGCAAGCCCCCCGTGTCCCTGCTTCAGCAGTGCACCAACATCCTGTCCCAGGTAAGCACAGGCGCAGGTGGCACAGAGGCAGACCAAAGGGGGGCGTCCATGAGCATTTGTATTCCACAGTGATTAGAGCCCTGTTGCGTTGTTGTGGTTTTGCAGGGTGATAAGATCGCCAGGCGGGTGAGTAACGGGCGTGGTGAGTGTTGTGTGTGTCTGGGTGGCGACTCCAGCTTGGCGTTAGTTGTGTCCCAGTTGTTGAAGGGTTCTATCTGATGTTATAACATTTATTTACCCCTAATCCGTCGTTTTGGTTGTACAAACCCCCTCTCCCTCCGGGGGTTCTCCACAATAGATTTAGGGGTTCATTTGCTCATGCAGTGCTCTCCTAACCTCTTGACCTTGTTTTGCTGTGAATTTAAACTTGCTGTGGAGGTTTCTGCCAGCTTATACTTTGTATGTGTGGTATTGATGCTAGTTTTATTTATATACTTTAATACTCATAATTTTAAGATGAAGCCATGGTCAGCTCAACTTTTGGATTGGGCGTGTATATTCTTTAGGGAGAAAGCAGTCTATATTTTAGGCAATACTGTATCTATAGATGACTGTTTCACAAATCAGTAGGGACAGGAGTTGGGTTTGTCATTGGATCACATTTGCATACTTATGTCCCACACCCATGCACTGTCCAGAACATTTATTTTGAGACTCCAACCATCTGTACTTCCAGTCTCTGTTATTTGGCTACCGACGATGTGGTTAACAAGCACATATTATCAACTTTGAAAAAAGGGTAAATGCTGAAGGGCTATTGGAGAGTTGGCAACATAAGTGAACAAAATCATCAACGCAATTTGGGACTAATGACATTGATTATAGCATTTTTAGAATAGTTTTTACTTTCATCAAACACTTGTTTATAATGGTCAGTTGTTTTATTATTACATTCCTTTTTGTTTTTGTCACTGTTGCATTCTGTCCCATATGGAGACAAAATCTCAAAAGGTGATTCTCAGTCTTTGCAATCGGAATGCAGATGCAAACTAGCCACAAACAGGATTATTTTCCACATTCCACAAAGCATGTTTTGCGTTCATTTGCAGACACCTGCTTCAGTACTGCCTTGAGATAACTCTGCGTAATTACAGCTTTTCCAAACTCCATGAGACTGACTTTTAATCATTTCAACTTTTATTGCCAAGCTTACAATTCATTGTCATGGAGCCATTTGGATAAAATTCACGACCTGTTCCTTTGCGATAGAACTGCATGGACAAATGGATAGACGTTATTCCTTTGCATGTGCCGTTATTAACAAACAATATTGTTGATGGATGATTGCCTAAAATGGGTAAAACAATTAGACTTTCAAGCATTGCTGTTTTGTCTTTGCTGAATATAGAATACATACACGCATGCATGAGCTGCTTTATTTCAACTTATAATGTGAACATGGAACTGTCAATTGTGTCAAGGTACATTTCTCATTACCATATAGAATGCGGTGCTTAGATGTACGAATGCCTCACACACGGGCTATGGAAATATAGCCATCTTGATTCATTTGACTCTAAACCTGGATGATTTCAATTGTGTGTGTGAGTGCGCTGACGTTTCCACTGTTGTCTTCCTTAGGGCAGTAAGGTTCAGACCAGAGTGGGTCTCCTCATGCTGCTCTGCACGTGGATCAGCAACTGTCCCATTGCCGTCACACACTTTCTACACAACCAAGAAAACGTCCCATTTGTATCCTTACAAAGTTTGGACCTAACTAGCACACGACAATCAGACCACTGTTTAAATCGCTAACAATGATAAACGATCCTTCACTCGGGACTGACACAGCTGACTGCACAGATCTCTGAAAACCTGGGAGAGGACGAACGGCTCGTGCAGGGTTTGTGTGCGCTGCTTCTTGGTATCTGCATCTACTACAACGATAACTCACTAGAGAACTACACAAAGTAAGCATAAACAATTTCTGCTCTTTAGTGTGAGGACCTTGTCCACTTACGGACCATTTTAATCTGAGCTTTATTGATTTGTTGCAACTCTTTTGGTTAAACTTCATAACATCACTCTAGTTCTAGTCTTCCTGTTACTTGCTTGGCAATAAAAATTATTCTGATTCTGTAATACAGATAAAATTTGGAAAATTAAGATCTGGTTAAAAAGTTAATTTATTTCTGTTATTGAACATAAAATGTTAAACTTTCTAATATAGACTCATTACATGCAAAGTGACATTGCCATTTTTATGATAATGGCTTTTCCAAAATATTCAAAATTTCTGAGATGTATATTATTTATTTAGATCTCAGCTGCTGAAACACAGCTGTTCGGCCTGGAGTCAAGTGCATCAACAATAATACATGACAGCAATTGTTCTAAAATCAACCAAAAAAAATTAAGATTCAGAAAGGACACAGTTTGACACACATCGGCATACGCTCACCCTGACTTAGAAGTAAAAATAGTTCAGAGTTTCACCTGTACTGTCCGCAAATAACAATTTGTACTTTTGAAAACTGTTTTCCCAGAGAGAAGCTAAAGCAGCTGATTGAGAAGCGTATTGGAAAAGAGAATTTTGTGGAGAAATTGGGTTTTATCACCAAACATGAGCTGTACTCCCGGGCCGGACAGAAACCTCAGCCAGTGTTCCCTTCTCCAGAGCAAATGCTGTTTGACCACGAGTTCACCAAACTCGTCAAAGATCTGGAGGGTCAGTCTGGACATCTTTTTAAAAGTCCTGATCCAAAATGTCTCAACACTTTCATTGTGCAGGCATGATCACGAAGGCTGTGCACAAATCCAGTGAAGAGGAGAAAAAGGAAGAGGAAGTGAAGAAAACATTAGAACAACATGACAACATTGTAACCCAGTACAAAGAGCTGATCAGAGAACAGGTTTGTCGTGGAACATGTTGGACATTATATTTAGGCTGCATCAGAGTTCAGCCAAAAAGGGGCTCTTTGCTTCAAAATTTCCCTTCCCCAAAATGTCTCTCAATTCAATTTATTTTTGCATAATCCTAAATCATTACAATCAATGAATTTACAGTTGTCGATTTGCCAACCTGTGTAGATCCAGGACGGGGGCTGTAGATCTAGCCCTGTGCAGCCTTGCTCTATAATAATTTCACAAAAATCACTTTGACATTGAAATTTGTGTCAGTTTCTGTTTGCTGTGGTGAGAACTTTCAATTACAAAGATTGTAAACAGGTTCAACAAGTGTGCACAGTTTAGCGAGCAAGAACATTCTAACCACTAATCTAAACAATTATACGTGAAGCTAACGGTAATTTTCTTTTGATCCTCAGGATGCTGAAATCCAGAAGCTGAAGGAACAGGTGGCCTCTGTGTCCATGCAGAATGAGCAGCTGCAGACTTCTAACACACAACAGCTCTCTCAGATCCAACAGCATAAGGATCAATACAATATCCTCAAGCTTAAATTAGGTTTGTTACCCACTGCCAATGCTATTACGCCTAAAGGCCTTTTCCACACACTTTACACTTATGGAGCCTTTTTCATTTCCTGTTCATGTGGGCCTGTTATTACACAGTAGAAACAAGACACTATGGCTGGACTATGAATGTATTTTATATTTTACTCCTGCTCTAGGGCGGTTACTTTCCCATCCAACCAGGAAATTCCAGCTTTCTTTTTTATGTTGTTGTCATTCTTGCATCTGCTCACTTCTATTGGACAGAAGGTTAAGCCTTCATGTAAAACATCAACAAAAACATGCATCAAAACAAATATTTTGATCTATGATAGTAATTATGATTTTATCCTTATTATTATGTTTACCCCTACTGAGACCATATGAAGTGTGTTGATTATAAATAATTAGATGTTAATTCCACTTATCTTCAGTGTGTGTTGAGATCCGAATGGTTCCTCTGACTAGTTCCTACAATCTCAGTTCCTGTTCCTTGATTTGGGAAAACGGCTATTATGCTCCGGAGCGCTCAGAGCTTCACCAATCAGAATATGAATATATGTAGAGTTTACTTAGATGGATGGTTTAAATTGCAGGAAAGGACAATCCCAGTCAGTCCAGCAGCTCGGGAGACCTGTCCCAGGTGAACGGTGTGCAGACAGAGGAGCTGACGCAGCTACGAGACGAAGTGGAAGAGCTGAGCAAACAGAACGCACTCCTACGGACACAACTCAGTGACAAGGATTCGCTCATCAACACTTTGGTTAGTCATATTTATAAGTTCCTCAATGGAACCTTTTATGTTTTTTTGTTTTTTAAAAGCATACAGAGTAACACAAGACACACAACATCCTGTGTGGTTTAGGAAAAACTGATTCATTCACACCTGTGGGGGTTTCCTGTTTCATTAAAATGTGGTTTGAATAGCAAATACTGCTAGACAGGACAAAGCATGTTCTCAAAATACAAAACAAACCATTGATTAAGCAAGTGTGCTATAATTATAAAGCAAAGGTGATATACATTTCGTCAGTAAATTATGCTTTCATCATAGTTTCTGTTGTCCATAGAGATCAGAGTCTGGAGCATCCGACAACTCTGAACTTCTGAAGGTTTGGGTCAATATTCCAACTGTGTTTCCATTTGTGTTTAGTATTTTGTTCAATGTGCAATATGCATGTTTTTCAGGAACTTGAGGCTTTGAGAAGTCGAGTCCAAGCTCAGTCAACAGAAATTAACCAATTACAGACAGAGAGACACGAGCTGCAGAGAAGAGTGGAAGTGTCCACGGTAAATGACGGTACATGTGAATCTCAAACGGCTAACAAATAATATTTACTTCATTTGTTATTTTGCAGACGTCACAAGGTGTTCCAAGCGGTGAAAGCACAGTGGACAATACAAAAGTGACAGAATTGGAGAAAAGACTTGCGGCTCAGATATCAGAGACCGAAAGACTAAAGGTAAACTACTTAAAACACATAATATTCTATTTTAACCATGTTTCATGTTGTTCCTTCATCAAAAATATTGATACCTTGAGTTTTTTAGCTCCATCCACGCAACCTCTTTTCAGTCTTTTCAGCCCTAACATGTCCCTCCACCACCTCGGCCAAAATGCTCAGTTCTCATCTCTGTTCTCAACGCGGTGATGAATCTTCAGACAATGATTTTGTTTTCTTCCTCTTTAGACTGAATGTTTGCCTTCAACATACCTTAAATTCAACATCATTGTTACAGAAATGTTAATGTTTGTAATAATAGAAGATCAATGTAAATATTCTATATGTTTATTGGGACAAAATAGGCACATAGAATGCATTATATTTCTTATTTGACGGCAGCAGAATATATGAGTTTTAATTCTAGAGACTTTGAAATGATTTTTCTTCCACAGGGGGATCTGAAGAGCACAATAGAATGCCGGTCAGACCTGGAGCAACAGCTGGCCTCAGCCACCAGCACCGTGGCCATCCTGCAGACGGAGAAGTCCAAACTGCAAACAGAGGTGCAGGAGTCCAAGAAGGAGCAGGACGACCTCCTTATGCTGCTGGCGGACCAGGACCAGAAGATTAACAGCCTCAGGCAAAAGCTCAAGGACCTGGGAGAGACGGTAAGTCCTCACAAACACTGACCGATGGAAAGTGTGTGTGTTTAGATTAGTATTAGAACTGGGCCTAATCAGATATCATATATATCTAGCACCTCGTAGCACAGCCGGATACATCTTCAGAGGTAGACTTGACTGGAGTCAGGCCACTACTATTTAAGCTAGGTCTGCACAATATTGGAAATTAGTGCAATATTTGAGTGTTTAGTATTTTGATAACAATATAATTCCGATGAAATGAAATTCAAATGCATATTTTACATACTTTTTTGTTTGTTTGTTCTTGTTGAATGTTGATGAGTTTGTGTGTTTTCTTGACTTTAATAAAGAATATATATATATTTTTTTTTTTATTGCGGATGTTTTTGATATAGATATCTCACGCACCAATATCGTGATAACAATATCCATCAATCCATCCATTTTCTTCCCCTTAATCTATTTCTGGGTCGGGGGGGTGGCAGTCAGAGCTGAACCCAGTCACAGAGCACCAGCCCCTCACTGATCCTCCTGCAGGTGGTGAGTCCACAGGAGCTGAGATCTTTCAGTTGGGGCTTCAGGCAAAGTGGGGTTAAGTGTCTTGCCCAAGGACACAATGACAGCAGACATCAGTGGGAGTCGTGAAGTAGGTTTTAGGGTGGGATCGAACCCACGACCTTCAGGCTCTAAGGCCAATGCCCTACCAACTGAGCTACATTGGGGCGACAACAATATATTTTTCATATATTGTGCAGCCTTAATGAAGGCCATGCTATGTTTGAAGATGTTGTCTCATACTGTGTGTGTGGTTTGCTGTAGTTAGACTGTGACCATGTGTTCACAGGTTGAAGATGAAGATGACCTCGACGCTCGGGAACAAACAGACGATGATGAGGAGGACGATGATGAAGAGGAAGACTAGACTGGGGCTGGCTCTGCAATTGGGAGGACGACCTAAACGTCTGTGGAAAAACTGGAAAACAGAACTCCTCATCAAGCCTTTACTTTTCTTCATACACACACCTACGCCCATTGTCATGTAACATCTTAGTACCCCAGTGTTCATTGCATAAGTTTTGTATTTTTTACAATGAAAAATAATAGTGAGATATAAAGTCAGTAGTAAGTGTTATGAAATGTAGCCGCAAATCATTCTAAATTACCATTAACATTTGGAAACTGCAGAAATCTCTAACGCCAAGACCTGCTGCTTCCTCGCACATGGTGCACAAGGGTTTTCACCAATGCACCCTCTGTGTCATGTTGTATCCACTCCGTCACCGGCCCACCTCCTTCTCATTATGTTGGCATGTTATTGTTCCACAGTTTTAATTTTTCTCAACACCTCTAAAATGCTGCAAAAGATGTAAAGATATTTTTGCAACTGTTGTCCAGTTCTAGCATCCTGCTTCTGTATATTGTGTAACTTATCAATTTATGAGCCACTCAAAAGGTAAATTAATCTGTACACCTGTATGGAAGTATAATTGTAGATAAATTAAATTTTATTAAATCTGTTTTGTTTTTGTGAAGTTGTCATAATTAAATAAGTTGATACGCTTTCTGCCTTTGGGGGGCGACAAAGGGTGAAATACGATCTCTTGGAGCTCTTCTCGTTATGGGTCCAAACATCTCTAGTTCAATGAATGGGACACATTTGACAATAATGCTTTAAAAAAGTTAAACAAAGCAATAATTGTATGTGCCTAAGATAAAAAGTACACCTCATATTTGGCCTGTAGTGCAAACTACATAGGCTCCTGTTTCTTGAGTGTTCACTGATGTAACATAAAATAACGTTTTCACCTTTCGACCCACGGTGGGGAGATTTAATTAGTCTAAACTGCCCTTGTACGGCATTCATTTGACATTGTATATGTTTTGTACAGTATGACCGGCCATTAAATGTAATGTTTATTTGTTTTTGGTCTCAGTTGTAAAAAACAAATCAATCAACATGCAGACACTTTAAAGAGAACATAAGACATAAAAATAGATATATATGTGCTCATACTAATTGTTTTTTTTTTTTTTTTCAAGCTTAGAATAATTTGTCATTTTCTGTTCTATTTCATGTGCCACCTATGCTTGCCCACTTCTTGGAACCAACTTCTGAGGAATGTTTTTTATTAAAATACAATTAAAAAGACAAATAAAAATGGAAAAAGTATAGCCCAGTTTAATGAGGAGGTGGGTTTTTATCAGTTATGTAGATATAGAAGTGATGTTATTTATACTATTTGCATTACATTCCCAAACTTTATGGAGTCTATAAAAGGGAAGTCTGGCAATTTGGTTTTGCTTACTTGAAAAAAAAAACAGAAAAAACACAAACAGTCCTAGAGGGCAAGCAAAACATAACAACTGACGATATGTACTGTATGTACATTTTATTTGAGCAACATACAATACAATGTTATTACAGGTTATTTGCAGAAGGAGTTGGCAGAAATTCAATGCAGTGAAATGCAGACGTGTTTTACATATGCAAGCACATACACACATATGTATATACACATACATTTTCAAATCAGATTAATTCGTTTGTGCCAATTAAAATGCTGTCTGAATGAAAAAGAAAAGTTTGTTTTAAGAGCATCCAAGTTGTGGATATCTTTGTCCAGGCTTTGTCCCCCATCGTGGAGAGCCTGGTGGAGAAACATGAGTACATCACATAGATTGTAATTACTAGTACATCCATGGGACAACTACCCCCTGCAGCCTAGGAGCATGCGGAAGTGACGTCACGCAGCCCGCAAAAAGCAGCCGACGCCCCCCCTGGATACAGCTGCTATGTCTCTCCTCATCCTCCCGGCTCGCCCGCGCCCAGGCTGCGTGCGGATTTCCATAAGTCATATTTACTACCCTCGTATTATTGTGCCCCCCCTTCGCTCATCACGTCCATTCTACAACATGCCTCCTCTACCCCGGTGGTCCTCCTAAACTTCAGCCGCACAAGTCAACTCTTCTTCGGGGGACCACAAGCACCTGCCTCGGTCGCCACTTGTCCATGTCAAAGGTGGGGGAACTCGCTCGCATTGCTCTTGACGCGGTTTGTTGTTGTTTTTGCTCGTTAAACGGATTTAGAAAAGGCTTTATTACCGGGCGCTGTGCTGATGTATCGTAAACCATGTGTCCGCCCTTGCGCGTACAGTGCCCGGGGGGAGATGGGACATGACTGGTGCTGCTGCTGCTGGTGCTGCTGCTGCTGCTGCTGCTGCTGCTGCTGCTGCTGCTGCTGCTGCTGCTGCTGCTGATGATGATGATTGTGATCTGTGGTCTGATGGCTCTAGCTGGGGCTGGTTATACTCATGCATGCTTGTACTTTCAATGCTCAGAGATCCAGAATAGTCTTCATTCGATAAATTGTACTTTTAAAATCTATGTAGTAGTTGGAGTTGAAGCTGAAGTACCTCACCTCCAAACCGCATACTATAAGACTACTTCCCATTTCTCAGACTGAAAAGTGAAAAAGGGAGAACCACTTTCACTTGATCCATAGCATCAAATAGTGACTCACAGGGCTCATTTAGTAAGATGAGGACCACATGTTATGGTCTGAGTTTGCCCATAACATTGTACTATTACAAGACTTATGTTGGGAGAGCAAGATGTCATTTAGGAACGGATTAACAGGAGTCAAAACATGTTCAAAACAGAAAAGACTATTACAAAAAGAAGTTCTGAAGTATGTGGAGGAAAGAAAGTTGTAGGGTCAGAGTGTTTGGGTGTCTTCTTGATTGAAGGTTTTGGTTTTATTATTTGAAAGTGTGTGTTGTACAGGTTAGGAATTAAATAAATGCATACATAATTGCAAAATGCTTCTCCCTCCTCCTAGACAAATGAGTTAAAAAAAATGTTTATTAGGCATTGAAAAAATTTAAAAGTGGGGGGGAAAAAAGCAAAACATCTGACTAATTTCAATCTACTGTTTCCAAAGTTACACAGTGGGATATTCCACATAGATTACATTTTCAGAAAGTTTCTAAAGGCATGATGTTTTACGTGTGAATGCATTTTGTATTTTCAATGTTCAATTTCTTGAAAACCATTACATTGAAGCCTGTAGGTATAGTCCAGTGTTGCCCATTGACTGCCTTAAGCTCAGAGTTGTCCTCATAACCAGGTCACGGTCTCCTACTGTATAGCCTACTCCTATGCTCTAATCGGCCTCTGCGACTTAGAGATGAGTGATGGTGATAATAAATATTTTGCTATCCTTTTGAGAGGACCTCAAAAACAAGATGCAGGAGTGTGATAAGCTGTACTTGTAAACGTCCTGGTTGAGGTTCAAGTCTTGCACCATTATTTTGTGCATCAAGTTCATAATTTTAAACGTTCCCTTTTTCTCCCACATGTAGCGAAGTGTTTCTATTTGTGAGATTTCATAATACTTTTAAGCAACTTTTGTTAAAGTTAAACTCATCATTCTATCAATGTGCAGAAGCCAGTACTTTTCCCTTGTTTTGTCTATCTGAAGGCCAAGCTACATGGCACCGTGGAAGCTGCTGATTGGAGGTCTCCATGCCTCCGCTCTGTATAATACACTTGCATTCTATTGTATCTGTTGATCGTGCTGTCTCTACCATCGACAATAAAACATGTCTTCTGTCTGAATTTAAGACGCGATCCCAGACATGTCATCTTCTTCAGGTGGTGGAAGGATGCGGGCCTTGTCTGTAACATCTAGAGAACAGAAGACTTTTTATTTTTACACAAAAAGTGTTTTTTTTTTTTAAGCCAAAACTGAGAAACCTCAAGAGAATGCATCTGGACCAGCACACATGGACAATCTGCACAGCCCCTGATTCCAGTCAGACTGTGAGCTGCTGAGACATGGACAATACCATCGTCCTCTTTTGCATGGACATGATTTGGAACAATTGGATTACACAATTTGGACATGATTTGGACTGAATTGAATTGCTGAATCTGGACACTGAAGCTGAAACGTGTGATTGAAATAACACGTCACAGAAGAATTCATGGCTCGACACAACAGATGCAGCCTGAAGAAACCAACACAGAGAAGTGGGAGAGACTGTTTTCAAAGCAATATCTGGAACCACCATCGACTGATGAAGTTTGGTATTTTACTGAAGATTGTTGACAAGTTTTATGAAAGATCTGAAAATGTTTTATGAGTTTTCTGAGTTTTTGAAGTATTCCAAGTTCTGAGTTTTTTTAAGTACCGAGTGAAGTACCGAGTTTATGAGTTTTTGAAGTATTGAGTTATGATGTTATGTTGCTGTTTATCAATCCTGATGGTCACACGTGAATGTATGACCAGAGGGGGGAATGTGAGATTTCATAACACTTTGAAGCAACTTTTGTTAAAGTTAAACTCATCATTCTATCAATGTGCAGAAGCCAGTACTTTTCCCTTGTTTTGTCTATCTGAAGGCCAAGCTACATGGCACCGTGGAAGCTGCTGATTGGAGGTCTCCATGCCTCCGCTCTGTATAATACACTTGCATTCTGTTGTATCTGTGTTCGTGTTCGTGCTGTCTCTACCATCGACAATAAAACATGTCTTCTGTCTGAATTAAAGACGCGATTCTTCATATTTTAGGCTTGAGGTGGGTCCTTGTCTTTATGGCTGTTTCGCTGCACATTTGTGTAATCTTTAATATCCTTACAACGCCCCAGGCCTGAAGTGACATAAGCTCAAATTAGGTCAGTGCGCCACTCTGTCTGAGTGCTGACCATCCCGGTAACTCAAACTATTAAAACAATTATAGATAGATAGATATTTGGATTTACTTGTAGAGTAAATACACAACATTACGTTAAAACTGTCCAACCCTTCAGTACCTGTACATGCTCTCGCTGCCCTGCCACCAGTTCACCAGATGGGTTTCCTCTATTGTTCGTTCGCCCTTTTGTCCCGACATGAACACACTTAGGACAATAGGAAAAGCA